AAATCTTCGTATTGGAACGAAGATGTCACCGAAGCCTAAGCCTAATAATACAAGCGTGAGTATTTGTTTCAATATAGAATTTTTACTAAAAAAAGAAACGTGTTTTAGTGTATTTTGATAAAATTGTGAAATTTTTTTGATTAAGTTATAAACAATTTAACCTAATATATGCCATATTAAAAAAAGTATTATTAATTTGGAGTTGACAAACTTTAGATAAATGTAAATCACAACCTATGCTCTTTTTAAATTGCTATTTAAATTAAATGGTTTCGTCATAAAAACAAGTGGTATTAGTTTTATTTTCTGAGAATTTAGAATTTTTGTTTTATATTCCAATAATATTATATGGTTACGTTTCGTAATCGAAAGAACTGAAAACCAATGGAAATCATTTCCGAAAAATTTAAGAAAATAATCAATCGTCTTCGTTTAAAATCACGTAATCTATGATATTATGTGTAAATAATAGCAATGTAATATACGTATTAAATCAGCTGTGTAAGATTAATGCCCCAAGTGTACGAAAACTACCTACGAAGATACACGCGTTTTAGGATTTTCACGGGTCGTGTGGATCGTAAAATTTCAAAAATTAAAAATGATTAATTGTATAGCTATGGTGCATTTCCGGTGGGAAAATAATCTGCCATTTGATTCAGTCATTCATCTGAGTCAGCTGCATTCATTTTGATCAATCTATCTATTTAATTCATCATTGCTGATGGCGAAAAAAATGTAATCACTCATTTTGATATCACTCATATCAGGCGGATGTTTGTATTAATTTCGATCGGGTTCTATATTTCATGTATTCTATACTTCACATTTTTCACGTAGTGACTCAATTTATGGGTGTACCCGAAGGCTCCCACTGAAAATCAGCGCTGTAGTCTATTAACTGTCGCACAATGCTGAGCGGACTTTTTGACAAACAATAGGTTGCATTTCTGAGAATACCTGTATGATTTATAACGATGTATAGTAGTTGACTGGTGGTCTACCAGTGGTAGAGAATGCCATCAGGCATTAAGTCCGCCCTGTAGATATATTTTAATGAGTGCAAAGGTATAAATAAATAAATAACCAGAGGGAGACTTTGTACAAAAGTCGATTGCTTTGGTACCTCTGTCCCATTCGTGTTTGCATGGCTGTGTTTCGGTTTGAAGGGATATAGCGTGAATTTACTGGGTACAGAGGAATAACACCTGAGTCCTCAGGAATGGCAACGCAGGGGGGGTATCATGGGCAAAACAGTATACTCTGTTATGTCCATGGTACTGCTCATGTCTATAGGCGATGGTTAACACTTTCCATCAGGTGGGCCGTCAGCTTGTTTGCCATTCTAAGTTGTATAATACATAAAAATAAATAAATACCTGTAAGCCTACTGTTTTGTTAAATAACCGTTATTATTATTTTTTTATCTGTTATAGTATCGATTAATGGATATTGTAACTACAATAATAGGTATAGTTATATATTATCTATGTATTTTTAGTACTTATATAAATATATTCAAATAGTTAATACCTACATATGCGTATTCAATCAAACATGCCTCCTACTGAGTTCTGGAGCAATTAATATTTCTGTTGTCATTAATAGTCAATTGTCTTCGTTGATTGCCTTGTTTGAATTTAGATAATTATTTCCATTCAATATAGTCATATGAATACGAATACTTAGTACCTTTGTAGATACTTTGTAGATAGGTTCTTCAAAAGGAGGGTAAAGAGATTTCTTCAGGGTCGGCAACGCACGCGTAATACCTCTGGTACTGCAGGTGTTCATAGGCTACGGTAACCACTTACCATCAGGCGGGCCGTATGCTTTTTTGCCACCACAGTGGTATAAAAAAAAAGATACTAAGTATACCTTTTACAAAGTACTATTTTTTTATGCAACTTAGAATGGAAAACAAACTTACGGCCCACCTGATAGAAAGCGGTAACCGTCGCCTATAGACATGAACAGTAGCATGGACATAACAGAGTATACTGTTTTGCCCATGATACTACCCAAGCGTTACCATTCCTGAAGATTCAGGTGGTAATCCTCTGTACCTTGTAAATTCATTGCCATATCCCACCCTTCAAACCGAAATACAGCCATGCAAACACAATTGCTTCACGGTAGAAACACGAATGGGACAGAGGTTTTTTTGTACAAAGTCTTCCTCTGGTAAATGAATATTAATAATAATCTACTAAATACTAATATTTTGTTATTATATGAAATAGTTTCTACTACAAAAACACAGGAAACGCCATTTTGGAATTTAACATTACATACCTATGTTACTACAAATATGATCAAATATTGCGTTTAGGTGATTTATTAATATATTTTTTTATGTATTTAATTTAGCTCATGAAATATGAAGGTTTCTGATGAACATAATATCTGAGTCACTCAACATAGTATTCTTATTTATTTATCTTTCTTTTTTTTACCTTATAGCGCTTTAATGGCTTAACGAATACCTATGAAATTTCGTAAACACGTATTGTAAGGGACGGAGAAGGATATAGGCTACTTTTTATTCCAGTCAATAAACATATCCCAGTCACGTGGACATGTCGCGGGTAAAAGTTTGAATAAAATAGTTTTTTTTTTTAATTCCAAAAGGTAAATGCATATAGAAAATTCACTGCGCGAACAACGTCACGAACTCGCGAGTACAACTGGTGTACCTTGTCAAAAACATACAGAATTATTTGTTTATTATTCGTTATGATTATGCATGATTAAATTGGGCATCTGTGTACCATTTCGACTAGTACGAGACCCTAAATAAGTGGGTCTCCAATGAAATCGGCGTAAGTCCATTGAATACATATTCGGTCAAACAATCTTTGGCATGCTAGCCTTGACTTCTTTTGGGGGGAAATCACGTAGCTCACTTTCCATTTCTATTGACAATTATTTTTATTCTAACTAGAGGTGGGTAATATGTTTTTTTATATACAATTTAGAATGGCAAACAAGCTGACGGCCCACCTGATAGAAAGCGGTAACCGTCGCCTATAGACATGAACAGTACCATGGACATAACAGAGTATACTGTTTCGCTCATAATATCCCTCCATGCGTTACTATTCCTGAGGACTCAGGTGTTATTCCTCCGTACCGAGTAAATTTACGCCATATCCCACCCTTCAAACCGAAATATATATATATATATATATTATAGATACAATATCTATATATTGTCCCCGTAACAGATATATGAAATGTCAGTTATGCAATATATTACATTGAAATGAAAATTTTAATCGAAATTAATATAAATAGCTGATTGATATGGACAATATCGAAATGGGCAGTGATTTTTATTTCTGACATTATTATCCGGAGGAATTCAATATATAGATAATTATTTATTTATTTATAGCAAGGCAACAGATTACAAATTAATACATTTATAAAATAAATATTACCTAAAACGGTATTAAATTTGCTCTCCAATAACTGCTCTGCATAACATTCGATATTATATACATTAAAAGAACTACGGCTATAAATTTAAAGTAACAAATTAGCAGCCTTAATGTAACATTGCAAGGATTGTTGGAAAATATAAAGCTCCTTGCATACATTATTATATTTTCTGCACATGCGGATAATTGAATTGTGATACGATACATTATTATTACAAATCGGTATATAAAATAATTTTTGTATTCTTTTATTACCTGTACGAAATGAAACAAGGCTCAACAATGTGCTACTGTCCCATTTATAATTTATTATTTTATAGAGAGTAATGAAATCAGACATGGATCTTCTATTTATTTTGATTTATTTATTTATATATATTTCTATTTTCTACTGAAACAATACCGATATTTACCACATATAATTATAATATCTTATTAAATTATATAGATTATTGTAATTTCCGCTTGCTCATATCTAGTAAATTATCACTTATAAAATTTCATTTCATTTCACACACTTTTATTCTACGAGTATAGTTTTTTTTAGAGTTATTGGGTAAGTACATGATAAATTACTCGCACGGATAATATTTTTTTAAGAACGAAATGTCATGATACAAGTACTGTTTATCCTACTAATTTTTCTTTTTTATTTTAAAGTTTCCTCTTGTCGTTGCAACTAATTCATGCATTCTCTGTCAGCCAGCTCTATTCTAGGTCATATCTTTGACTTCCTTATAAAACATAACATCTAGTGTTTTCTTTATCTGTCTCATGTGGTTAATCTCAGTCTTCCCCTTCCTCTTTTGCCCTCTATTTTTCCTTCTAGTATGCTCTTTAAAAATCGGCATGTCGTATAAGGTGACCCAGAATTTTGTCTTCTATTTTGCCTATATTTTGCCTCTATCATTGTCTATAAAACATCACGTCGTACATCGTTGTGTTTGTATTAATTTTAAATTTTAAAATGCAATAGCGAAATTACTAATAAATACCTATTAATTTTAAAACAATTAAATAAAAGTTTTTTTTTAGAACAAAATATACGTATGTAAACATTAATCCATTAGTAAGAGTAAATACAAATAGTATTTACTCTTCTATATTGTTTTAGTTTTTTTACTCTATTAAGGTAAATAGGCAATTATTTGTTTTAAACAGTTTATTGTCGAATTATAATAATCTTTACTAATATGATAAATGTAAAAGTGAGTTAGTTTTTTTTTATACCACTGAGGTGGCAAACAAGCATAAGCACATCTGATAGTAAACAGTTACCGTAGCCTATGGTTGCTTCTTGGCGTTTTAACAGCATCACCGATCATTATGAAATTAGATATATAGATACTATATGGGATGAAGAAGGACCTAAGTTACTTTACTGGAAGTGAACATATTTATGAGTATAAAGTTGTGGGTATAAGCTAGTATTGGATAATCTATAAATTTTAGTATAATAGTGTGCGTTCATCAAGCCAGAAAAACTTTTGTTATACAGACAAAAAGAGGTTTGCTAAAACATTTATTCAAATTTTTTATATATAACACTTGTTCCAGTCTCAAGCGTCCGCCAGCGCCGAAAGACGAGAGCACCTCTACAAAATTCTAGTGATCGGAGAACTCGGTACCGGGAAGACATCTATCATCAAGAGATACGTGCACCAGTTCTTCAGCCAGCACTACAGAGCCACTATCGGAGTTGACTTCGCGCTCAAAGTACTAAACTGGGATGAGCACACAGTAATACGCCTGCAATTATGGGATATTGCAGGTATTTAGTTTTTTTTATTTATGATCTAGCAGAAATCCTACTTGGTTTGGGGGAATGGGATTGTTTGTAATGCTGGCAATACACCCTATCAGGTCGACCTCCACGCGGTTCCCCCTGGAAACCATCGTGGTTAATTCTAGTGGAATTTGTCACGATGGACTAACTGACCTGCTTTCATCCTCACCTATCATCCCTCACTGGTGCTCCGCCAGCGTATACCGATAGCGTAGACGGGGTTGCCATTTCATTATCACACATAAAAAAAATCTTACTAGGTAGATAGATAAATACTCTTTATTGTTTCCTCCAAAAGATTACAATAGTAAACTTATTATAGGTACAGAAAATTACAAGAAATGATCACAGTAACAAAATAATGGGCGGCCTTATTGTTAAAGGTGATCTCTTACAGGCAATCTTTCGATGAAGCGAAGTAATTACAAACAGTTCTATTATAAATGCGAATTTTTAAAGACATGTGGTTGAAAGCTTGTCACTCTTTCACGCAAAAACTATTCAACGGATTTGGATAAAATTTCGTATACAGATAAGTTACGTAAACTACTACCGAATGCAATTATTTAGCGTGAAGGTATTTTTACTATTATTATAAATATAAAAGGGAGTTTGTTTGTCAGGAATGGCAACTCATGAAGAGTTTCATGGGCGAAACAGTATACTCTGTTATGTCCATGGTACTGCTCATGTCTATAGGCGACGGTTACCACTTTCCATTAGGTGGGCCGTCAGCTTGTTTGCTGTTCTAAGTTGTATAACAAAAAAAAAAACAAATTTTTTACTTCTTAACGCTTATTAAAGTTCAGCTAATCGTAATGGAATTTGGCATTCACGTACCTAGTATTTGCTAGGTTTTTTACCTTAGTTACTTGACATATTCCGTTCATGAAGATGATGCCACGGCGAGGTCAAATCTAGTATTTATGTAATAAATAACACAATAGTATATTTAACTTGCTTTTGTCACCTACTTTATACCCGTGGTTTTCAAAAGCAGGAAGACTACTTCTAGATGTAGTAATATATCATACACCAGTTTTTAAGTCAGACCTTCAGAAATACAAAAACCGTATTCAAATTGGTCAAGTAGTTTTTGCATGATGCTGGAACAAATATATAGTCAGGCAGACAAAATTTCTAAATATTATGGTATTGCCTTCTATTGCTTCTACTAAAACCACTATTTTTATACCTATTTGTCTTAAATATCTTTATCGTCCAGTTACAATTTTATTATATTAGTAAGATAAGATTTTTAAAAGAAGTTTTGTTGAGTCAACAAAACCAGCTCTAGTTACAGGTTACTCAATAGTTATTATATCTCATAATGCTTATCGTTGTTTTAATTTATGTATGTGTATGTATATATATATATGTATATATTTCATATGTATTAGTTTATCCATATATATTAAAAGTAATGTTTATGTATTATATATGCATTTCTTATGTGTGTATTATATTTATATTGTGTATTGCCTTAATGTGTTACTATAGTTGTCACATATTTTTCACCACATCTGCCCTTCATACGCTTTCTGTTTTTACCCAATGGTTAGCTGGTAGAGAATGCCATATGGCATTAAGCTCCCCATTTGTACAAAATTTTACTGTGCAATAAAGAATAAATAAATAAATAAGATATTTAACTAGTGTATTTAAAATCATAAAAAAAGGTTTATATTCATATTAATACTTTATTATCTTTGAAAATAGTAGATAATACTAATTGTATTGTCTACTATTCTCATTATCGTATATAATATTGTATATCTATGTATAAGTATATTTGTTAATTATATATATTTATTAATATCTATATATAAATAAAAATCAATTCCCGAATGTATGTAAGCGCTTCACTTCGGAACGGCGGCTGTTTAGCTTATTCTTTTTTGTTATATTCATAATTGTCACGACAAGGTTTGTATGAAATAAAATGTTGGTAAAATCGTATGAAAAATGAAGTATTTGGGTTAAATATTCTTCATATAAAAAGTGTGAGAGTGAGTAAGAGGGAAGATTTGGTCTTATTTCTTCATTAGTATACTGCGCAAAACGGGGTTGGACAGCTAATATTATAAAAAAAAAATAGTATAATATGTATGTATATCAATTAATACTAGTACCGCATTTGAGCATTCTAACACTTCCCTAAGGTTGACTGGGAGAATGCTTTTAGCATCAAATCCTCCTTGTACTAAGTATAAAATAAATAAAATAAAAAAATTAAAGGAATTAAAATAGAAATAATGTGCTTATACATACAAGTGACTACACAGTTTCACGGTCTCTTTGGCATGAAACGATTCGCTCAAGACTTTCTCAGCGGCCTGTTCACGTAGGCATCGTAGGGCTAGGCCGTGCCACGTGCACGGCGTATTGTAATGAACTACGTGTATATAATTTGTTCACGTGATATACTTAAAGACGTCATCAAATGGCGTTATTGCCTTCAAACGTAAATGGTGACGACATCAAATTGTCTCTGCCATAAATATAATGCGATTTAACGATAATAGTTTCACAGAATAGATGTTTCATTTTTGTTACTATCTTGTTATCTTGTTGCTTTCTGTGACTTCATCTGCGTGGTAAGGATATATTGATTAACCGGGTTTTTTATTTTTTTATTTTTAAACTTACTTTAAAAGGAAGAGATTCTCAATTCAGTCGTATTATTTTTTATGTTTGTTACCTCATGACCCTGTCAGTTGTAAACCGATTTGGATTTTTTTTGTTTGAAAAGATATATTTAGAGATTGGTCCCAAAAAAAATTATTAAAATAGGGTCAGTAGTTTAGTTTTGAAATGAAAATAACTGGTTTGGTCCCAATTGAAGACGGTTTTTTTTTGTGGAATTCTAAATTCTAAATTATTGTTCCTAATACATTGTGTTGCTGACTTTCTGGCAGTCATTACATTGCATAACTTTTTTTTTTATTTTACGTTCTATTATTTACTCTTATAATAAACGTCTTAGTAATAACATTTAGTGTTAGAAGTGACCAAAATTAATGATTTACGCTCATTCTAAAAAAATATAAATATTTATGTATATTTTATATAAAGTTTAATTTTAAATAAATGTCAAAGACGGAGAAATTATTATGTAAGGCTTTATAAGTTATTTCTTAGACGTTGATCATAATGTGTAAAAAATAAAACACAAAATAAAAAGAAATATAAAAAAGGTATGCAATGTGATGGCTGCCAGTACGTCAGCTACACAATAGGAACTCCTTTGTTATGTTATTCAAAATGTCACACTGTCAGAACGTCATACGTATATTAGACATTTTGAATTAAAAAAAGATGGACGATCTGAATAGAGCTTTCACTTTATTGTTTTTCCTTTTAACAGTTGTATTTTCTTTTATATTTTTTTCGTTAGTCATTGTGATTCAATATTGATTTATAGAGTAGAAGTAATTTTTATAGGCCATTGGCATGAGAAATTTGCTATGATACGTTTTGACGAATCAGAAGTTTTTTGGTACGCTTTATATAATTATATTGTTTTGGCGTCTATTGCTGTACTACGACGGGTTATGTTCAAAAATAAATGTTCTAAAATATTTCCCATGTACAGAAATCGTCTAGTATATAAATAAATATATACATTTGTTAGATATCATTGACCTTCCTTACATTGTACAATTAGATAAAATTAATCTGCATATTTATGATATTTGAGAGCGAAATTTAATGTTTACTCTTCAAGTAGTTATTGTTTTATATTGCGTTCTATTTATCTGTTGTATATTTCACACATTAAATGTGGTCCTGCTTCGATAACTTTCGCTTGTTTATGTTGACTTATAACGTGACGGATTTAAGATTATTTGCCAGGAGTGAGCGGCGGGAAAGGGGGGGAGGGGGTGTGTTCGTTTGTTACCATTTATTGTACAATAAAGTCCTAAATTATTACATAGGGGGACTTATCCCATAAAAGAGAACGTCTGGATCGATTTAGCTATTTTAACCTACTTCACAAAATAAAGAAGATTTCAATTCGTTTGTAATTTTTTTATATTCCTTATCTCACAACTCTGTCATTTATAAACCGATTAGATGTTTTTTTTATTTAAAACGGTATATTTATAGAATTGTCTTATAATTTTTTTTTATTAAAATCAGTTTTGTAGTTTTGAAAGCGAAATAGCCAGTTTTATCAGGTCGTTTTTATTGTAGAACAAAATTTTAAATTATTTTCAAATATCCTAAATTTTTAAACAGGCCAAGAGCGTTTCGGCAACATGACTCGCGTGTACTACAAGGAGGCTGTAGGCGCCTTCATAGTTTTCGACGTGTCACGCGCGGCAACATTCGACGCAGTCGTCAAGTGGAAGAACGATTTGGACACTAAAGTACAGCTGCCCGATGGTTCATCTATACCGTGTATACTACTGGCCAATAAGGTTTGTAATTAGAAATAATAGGCTTTTTCATGCAATTCTGAATGGCAAACAAGGTAACGGCATCGCTATGAAATTTGGTGTAGACGTACGTAGACAGAGGCTAATTTTTATCGCGGTCAGTAAACATATTCTGGTAATGCGATTTAATAAGATGTTTCGTCAAAGTCAGCAACACGCGTACTGCTTCTGGTATTGCAAGCGTCTATAGGCTACTGCTTACCATCAGATGGACCGAAGCTTGTTTACCATCTCAGTGATATAAAAAACGAGGTCACCGGTAAAACATAGTTTGTTTCTATAAATGAACAAAAAACAGCAGAGGAAAGAAAATCTTCCTCTGGTGGTTTTTTTTTTCAGACAAAAGTCGTTTGCTTGGACCTCTTACACCTCTGTTCCATTCGTGTTTCTACCGTGAAGCAGTTGTGTTTGCACTGAATGTACAGGATACAGAGGAAAACACCTGAGTCCTCAAGAATGGCAACGCATGGGGGGTATCATGGCCGAAATAGTATACTCTGTCTCTCCATGGTACAGCTCGTGTCTGATGAAAATATCGCCTATGCGACGGTTACTACTTTTCATCAGGCGGGCCGTCAGCTTGTTTGCCACTCTAAGTTACATAAAAAAAAACATATCCCGGACACGCGGATGAAGTCGCAGAGAAAAGCTAGTATTTACATAATTCATTAGTATGCATGCGAATATTAATATTGAAATATTACAGTTATAAAAAATAAACATATATTAATTGTGCGAGATTTTAGAGGTAAAAGATTAAGGATCAAACAAAAGCTTAAAAAAAATTCAACAAACAGATGGTTTGTTTTTGAACGTTTTTCAATTTTAAACACTCCATCTAGGTGTGTACGATCTATATTTCATGAATACTTTTTTATTTTCCAGTGTGACCAGCAAAAGGAGGGCATAGTGAACTCACCCACGAAGATGGACGAGTATTGCAAGGAGAAGGGATTCGCTGGATGGTTCGAGACCTCCGCGAAGGAAAACATTAATATAGAAGAGGCGGCACGCTCATTAGTTAATAAGGTATGTGTTTCCATATATTTTTATGCTATTTAGAAAAAAAAACAGGCCGATGACCCAATAGAATGATGGAAAGCGGTAACGGTAGCCTATAGATAAAAACTAGGCATAGGTAAATGAATACCTTTCCGTTGAGTTCCTATGAACATTGATGATGCAAAAAAGGCCATCACCCATTTCAATATCATCCATATCAGTCGGGTATCTATTGTCGAATACGTTAAAAGTTTTATATTCTTAACGATATTGTATTGTGTCTCATAGATATTGTAACACAGAGTACACTGTGATGCCCAGAGTTCACTGTGATATGTATATATTTAATAAATGATGATAAAGTGGTACACTCGCCTATGCTAATGGTATACAATGGCAGGACATCACTGGAGAATGAAGTGATGAGAATAATATGAGGTCAGTTGACTTACCGTGGTGAATTCGTTAGGAATTAACTATGGTGGTTTCCAAGGAGAACCGCGTGGAGGATGCCGTGATTCTCTAGAAATCATCGTGGTTGAATTCGTCACGATAAGCCAACTGACCTGCTTCATTCTCACTTATCATCCCTCACTGGCGGGAGCCAATGTATACTAATAGCACAGGCAGAGTTGCCATTCCATTTTCATCACAAAAAAATCTTTCTCCACACTTATTACTTGTTGTAAACAGTGAAATTTTGTATGTGACACTGACTAACTGGTCAATAGAAAGTCAAAACTATTTGGTTTAAAAATCATAATAAACGTCCTTTTGAAAGTCGGTTTAAAAAAATAATCGTCACCTATTTGGCTGATCGTTTTTCAAATATTTTTTGCGGCGTCATTTAGATAGGATCTAAAATTAATAACTATTTATATTAACTATTTATATTGTTCTAGATTCTTCTCAACGACAAATTACTTCAAAGCAGCGATAGTAAAGACTCTGAGAGGTTCGCGCTTGACCACAAGATAGCAAACGGCGAAAACAGTCGCGGTGGTAATACCAAATCCTGCTCCTGCTGACCAAGGAATGGTATCTTGTAAGGTTGACTTTATTTGATGGTGTTGACGCAATTCGGCAATTTGTTATTTTCCAACCGAATATAAATAGGCTATTAGCAAGAAAAAATCCATTTTATATTTAATAATGATATGTAAATTTTATACATACATACATACATATCTGTCATTAGGGTAGGCAGAAACAATGGAACGCCAATGCTTCGATTCAAACAAACCTCTTTCGCTTCTTCCACATTCATCAATCTTGTCATACACGCTCGTCGGTTACGGGTACTTTTAATTTGGCCCTTCTTCAGCACGTCGCCTATTTGGTCGACATACGTCCGTCTAGGACGGCCCCTACCGACATCTCCATTCATTCTTGCTCGATAAATCTCTTTCGTAATTCTTCTTTCATCCATCCTCTCCAAATGACCAAACCAACGCAACATTCCTTTTTCGATTTTGGTCACTACATCGACTTTCAGTCCACACTTCTCTCTAATCACACTGTTTCTTACTCTATCTTTTAAAGTAATACCACACATACTTCTCAAAGCTCTCATCTGTACAGCATTTATCTTACTTTCATGCTTCTTCTGCCATACCCACGATTCGCTTCCATACATGTGTTGGTGTCATATAATTATATATACATTTTTACTTGACATAATCGAGAGCAGTGCACCGTGCAAATTTTATATGTATATAAATATATGTTCAGAAAATGATGCAGCATTTATCTATAAGAATGAGTATAATGTTTTCTGAGTTTGTGATAGATAGTCTAAAAATGGCGTCCGTATCCAAAATGCGCGACTTTTTAATAAATTGAATACAAGATCATTTTGATTAAATTTCTTTAGTAATACCAATAGCAATAATATTTTTTTTCTATTTTCAAATCGTCAGACATGGTAAATAATAAGTTATTCCATTTTTAATTATGCTTAGTCATTAGGTATGTGGCGCATTCTATTAATTCCACAAATTCAGATGCTTTAAAATACAGATAATGATATCTACGTATATTAGTTTATTTTGTAAGGCTCGTTAGATTATAAAGGACTTTGAAAGACTTACTTTCTAAATATGTTTACTCTGCACTTCACATAAATATAAAATTGTGCAGTACTACCGGGAAAATCTGAACTATCTATTGCTTTTCATACCATTTGTAACTACCAACATACAGATATGAGCATTGAAACATGTTAAAGCGTACATGACATGTTAAAGGGTAATAAAAAAATAAGACTTATTATTTACAAATTATTGCTACATTATTAAATTTTAAGGGACGACATGGCGACACCGCCCTATATATTGCCGAAACGAGAAAATGAATCATGAAACCATCTAAAAGCATCAATACAATAAATTAGTATAGTGTTGTACAAATGTGTCTCTGTTTAAAATATCGATATCGATAGGCATGACTGCTTTAAAATTTATTGTATTGGTTTCATATATTTCATTCAAATGTTTTTGTATTCGAAGTAATGCGAGCCTGCTTCTTATTGTAATTTTTTTAAATTGTTTATTATTTTCAATCAGTAATCTCTATTGTTATAACTAATCCAAATGTAATTTACAAATAATGATTTAATGCTTAGTTTTATAATTGATGCAGGAAATATTATATTACTATTCTAATATTTTTTTTTGTATGATTGTGTGTATGAAAACCACGCCCGCCTTTTCAATGAAAATTATTACAATATGATATTTATAATAATATTTCTAAATATAATTTAAATTATGTAAGTACGTTCAGTGTTAATACTTTCTTATTTTTTATTTTTTTTAATAATGTTTATTAATTATCTCACCATTATTTAACATCATAATAAAACCAATAGCTTTTAAGTAATAAAAACAAAATCCAATTATGCGGAGACTTGATGCCTGCACTATATTATAGTTATCAACTTATATATTTTTTTTTTTTTATTACAGACCAATGATTTTCTTTGTAGTCTATGGTAAATCTCAAACCATATTTTTTTTATTTTTAATAATCTAGAAGTCTAATATTATTTTTATTGTTACTCATAGTTTTCCTGGGAGTTGTCTAGTGCCATTCACGGCTAAAGTCATAATAATAAATACGTAATTATAATGAATAGTGTATGATACAGTTGAAATAATTTATAATAAGTATTATAGATCTACTTATTGTACGAGTGTGAGATGTTATTTTAATTTAATAAAAATACTTATTTAGTGAGATTATTGTGTTTTATTTTATCTAAATGGTCTTTGAATATTGGTATCTTAGATTATATAGATAGAGCACTGAGTCTTAAAAATGAGTCAACCTTTTGTCAGCTAATTATCAAATGAGCTGACTTTTTTTTGTTAGTGTAACTACTATATACTTACGCATATAATTTATCTTGACATATCTATATTTAATTAATAAATATAACGAGTTTTTAGGCATTAAAAAATCCTAAAATTATAAAACAAAATAAATATAGAATACTTATAGAAACAGTCATAACTATTTATCACACAAAATTGTATGAAAACATTGATCTGTTTTTCTCGAAGCATTTGTATTGAGATACGCTATATATATAATATAGACTCTTATATTAAATCCTTAGATAAGCCTTTGATGTATATATTTATTTATATTACTAAAAGTGGTATATAATGTAGTATATACAGGAACCTGATATATTATTAAATATTGGCCAATGATTAATTAATACTTGGCAAATAATGAGTATTAAATGCATCATCGAAAGTCGTGTCGATAGCTTAAATTATAAAGTACGTAAATACGTTGTCTATGATCGAAAGTCACAGCACTCAGAGCAGTAATTTGTTTTAATACTCGTAGAAATCAAAATATAATCATGTTTTGTTGAAATTATCAAATATCATCATGCCATTAGAGAAGCAATCTTAAATGAAAATAGCAGTAAATCGGAACATTCAATTAATTCATTTTTTATTGCTACTACTATTGAACATTAGCAGATTATTTCGTGTTCGGATCAATTATTTGTTTGTTCATATTATCATTAAGTTTAGTTGAAATAAACTACACAGCTGAGTGTGCTGTGAGAAACCACTTTTATAAATCTCTATCAACAAAGTCGCTTTATGCCACGATGCTTTCGATGTGTGGGCGAAAAATGATATAGAATTCTAAAGAGAAATATCCATTAAATACAAGTGGTGTTTTCTTTTTCCTCTAAAAATATCTCTCGCAGTTATAAGATTGATGGAAGATTCAGTTTCCACATAAGTTTCCTATTTCACTCTGTATAATGACAAGATGTAACATATAAAACAAATACAAGTTTGTCATGACTAGTTGTGGAAAACTAGTTGCTTTCCGCGGCTTTGCCCGGATACACTATACATGTAAAGTGTCTTATGTTTTAAGTTAGTATATAACCTATCCGTGTATTAAATTTCATTGAAATCCTTTCAGTCGTTTAAGTGTGACTGAGTAAGTAAACGTACTTACTTATTCATGTAATCATTACAAACTTTTATATTTATAATATTTGATGCCGTAAAAATAGGGTGGCACAGTAGGCAAAATACCACGGGTCTCCGCCCTTAAGGGGCCTCTGGTTCAAGTTGCCATGAGTATAGGAACAATCTAACATTAATTATTGTAAAGTTTTTTAAATTAATTACAATAATTAAATTAGAATCAACTTCCAGTAGTAGTATTTCCGAACCGATACGACATAATAACCTTCAAGAAAAGAGCATATTCCGTTATAAAAAGCTGGCAGCACAACTGCAATGCCTCTGGTGTTGCGGGTGATCATGAGCGGCGTAGTCACTTACTATTAGGTGAGCCGCACATTTGTTTGCCCCCTGTATTTATGAAAAAAAAAAAAACTGTATAATAGGGAATGTTCTAATAAATTTTTTGACCTTTTAACACCGTACCTCTGATCATAGTCTGGTCATAGTCTGTCCATGCATCCTCTGTATTTCTACCTCGTACATTTGGGTCGTGTAATGAGCTCCCCTTCTTCAGATTTTCTCTTACAATATTATATGTGACATTTCAAAAGATGTGCCAACGAATATTTAAAAAGCTGACAACGCACAAGCAACTCCTCTCATGTTGCAGGTGTTTATGGGCGAAGGTAGCCGCTTTCCATTAGATGGGCCATTTGTTCGTTTGCATTCCTAACCAATGAAAATAGAAAAAGCGAGAATTCTTCTAAAGTATTATACTCAAGAACAGATACGAAATATAGAAATATATTATCAAGATTTCAACAACATATTTTCAAGTATAACCAAAAATAAATACATTAATTCTAATAGTGTTGGTAAATATGCATATTTATTTAGTGATATATTTTATATATAATGAAACTTGAACATCAAGATTTTTTCATTAAGTGACGGCTCCATCCGATGGATTTACGCCTCAGATGGTATACCTAGTTATACGTCCTTGCTTGTAGCCCTAGTAAGAGTTTTAAGAATAACCCACTTTTTGTAGGAACTATCGTAAACTGGGTACTTACACGTTTTAGGTTATTTCAAAATAGGAAACAAATCTCATGGCAAACGTAAACTTATTTAACAAGACATCATTATCATGTTTGTTTAATGATTAAATTCATTTTCTTAATGTGCTCTACGAGTGTAATTCATTTCATCAAGTCAGTTGTTGTTGGGACGTTAACCTTTTTTGTATTCAATTATCATTATCATCATTAAAAACTATCAAACTATCATGATTTAATTGTCGTAAAAAATTACTTTTATTTAATTATACTGATGGAGTTACTCAGGGTAAGTCATGGCGTTTTTGATACTATTTTTTTTATTACATATATTTATCGATTAGTCCTTATGATTGGTGGAGGCTTTAAGACGCCAAGATAAAAAAACTATAATGGATTTTTTTCATTAAATTTGACCCATTGGTCCTATATCATAGTACACTGGGGTATTTTTTTCTATTTTAAAGAGGTATCTTAGGCAAATTATTAGATCGCTATTCGGAGCCTAGTATTAACCGTTTGGCGCCCAATAATTCGCAGCTTTGTTTAGAGGCGAAACACGTGTCATAAAAGGTGCGTGGACAAAATGACAGTCGGAGATTGATGACTAATATGTAAGGTTGTGGAGTTTCTGATAGTAATAGTGTTTGGTCAATTTTCGAGTGTTGGCAGTTACACATATGTATGGCGTAGGTAGCGGAATTAAACAAAATAATTCTATTCAAATAACAAAAAAAAAATCTGAAATATTATTAAATTATGAAATATGTTAATAATTATTTTCATACTTTAATAATATTTCTATGTCAATTCGGAATTAGTAAATTTCCAAGTATTTAATTATAAATAAAATAACAGTAAAAATTTTCTATATTTCTGAATGACTTTGTATTTTTTAAATTACTGTATACTTTTTTACCATTACAATTTAGAATTTCAATGACGGTTTGATAAGGAAGTCATTTAGTTAATTGACATGCTAGTACACCTCAATAAGACAACTCTTAAAATATTAAAAATATTGAAAATTGTGTTTTAAAAATTGCGTTTGGAATTGACTTTTTTTTATAGTAGAAGATGAATTTATTCAGGTATCCCGTCCCCGCTATTTGATACGGGTGGCGGGATGCCTACTCTATTGGGCAGGGGAAAAGGGATTGTTAGTAATGAGGTCTAATAGCCCTATTGCTAGCAATATACCCTCTCAGGTTGACCTCCACGCGGTTCCCCCTGGAAACCATCATGGTTAATTCTTGTCGAATTCATCATAATTGGCCAACTGACCTGCATTTATTGTCACTTATCATCTTCCACTGGTGCCTCGCCGGTGTATACCGTAGCGCAAGCGGGGTTACCATTCCATTTTCACCCATTAAAAAAAAATCTATTGGGCACATAGAGTATATATATTTGGGGATAAAGTGCAAATTAGGGGACATAAAGTAAGATCGACGGCCTAAGACTGCTACTGAAATAATAGAGTGGTTGGCCCTCGATTGGGCAACCCCAATCATCTTCCGGTCGCCCATTCGACGGTCGACTAGTCATCGGCCGTCAAGTGCTAGGCAAGGCATCTGTAATGGATTAAAGTTGCGCAATATACAATTTGTTGAAGAGAATTGACGTGTTTAAAGAAAAAAAAAGTATACAATATATATAAAATATTTCACAGACAGACCGACCAGATGATCATGAGGCCATTAAATTCGATGGGCTTACAGTTTGGACTCCTGAGGAGTGGTCGTGGTGGAGACGGAAACAGATTAAACCTGAAACTATAATATTAAATAATGGTACGTAATGTTACTTCATTTTGGGGGTGACTGAGTAAATAATAGTATATATGTATTTGTAGGATATTGCGTCCCCAGCGGGGTTACTCAATAAATTAAATCACAATAATAGTAGAAAACAAATATTATTGTAAAATAATTTAATAATATTATTGCTGGCAAATCATCATCATTATTTTAGCTATTATTCGTCCACTGCTGAACATAGGCATCCCCCATAGACTGCTAAAGAAGGTCCTGAGCCGCCTGAACTCCACTGACTTCTTGCAATGCATTTGAAGTCGTCACTCCATCTAGTGGCGGTTGTCTTACACTGCATTCACTAGTACGGTAACGCCACTCAAGAACCTCTATTCTGTTCTTCGAGTTATACCACCAGCCTATTGCTACTTTAGTTTGTTTATTTTATTTTATTTCAATAGGTACACATTACAGAGAATTAACATGGTTACATTAATTTATACAGTACAATAATGTTTTGTTCAAGCTAACACTCCAAAAATATGCGTACACAGCATGATCAAAACATAAACACACAGCTAAACAAGTCTGTAAATACAATTTAATTTATACAACAAAAAATTATTTAACTTATACATTTACAATTATAAAGGTAAATATACAAACACATGGATAATCTTTCGGACTATGTCGATGATTTTTGTTCTTTTACGGATATCCTCATTTCGGATTCTCTCGCTCAAAGAAACTCTGAGCATGTCCTTCTCTAAAGCTCACTGAGTGTGTGTGTGTGTGTGATTTGAAACTTTTGCATACTTGCAATCACGTAGGATCATATTTCATATTTTTGGAGATGTACTGTTCATGTCTATAAACCATGGTTACCATTTTCCATCAGGTGGGCCGTAAGCTTGTTTGCCTTCCTAAGTTACGTAAAAAAAGGTAAAAAGATGACTATATAGTGTATTACATATAATGTCGAATAAAACTTACATGAAGGTCTAAGTTTTGGTTTAGTTTCAGGATGCATAAAGGATGGTGAATTTGCGGCAGTCATTGGACCAAGGTACGTGATTTTACTGACACATGTTTATATTTATATATTAAGATTCTTCTGGAGGTTGTTGGGAAAGAAGGGCATCACCTATCTCGATATCGCGCATACCGGACGAATATCTATGTTCATTTGAATCGGGTTCTTTATATCAACATTATATGTATATTGGAACATCGATATTTAATGTCTTTGTTTTTTTTTTATTCATCTTAGAATGGCAAACAAGCTGACGGTCCACCTAATGGAAAGTGGTAACTGTCGCCTATAGACATGAGCGGTACCATGGACATAAGAGAGTGTACTGTTTCGCCCATGATACCCCATCCCCATGCGTTGCCATTCCTGAGGACTCAGGTATTATTCCTCTGTACCCTGTAAATTGAATACCATATCCTATCCTTCAAACCGAAACACAAACATGAAAACACGACTGCTTCACGGTAGAAACACGAATGAGACAGAGGTGCCCAAGCAAACGACTTTTGTACAAAGTCTCCTTTTGGTAATGTATCTGAAACTGTGCAAATATACATGATATATACCGCCCATCGTATTTTACTAAGGTTGATTAATATGTACCAATATCCATATATTTTGGTTACAATATCTACTCTAAATAATGGATATATTAAATATCGCTTATTGAGTATTAATCAAAATTAAGGACCTCATTGAATTGATTATATTCGACTAGTATGGGTGATATCGAAATAGGTGATGATATATTTATAGCCTTCAATTTTCGGAAAACCCTAATATACACATATTGAAACAATCCTGATATGAGAGTCCATTTTTTACATTCTAAATAAATAAATAATCTCAGAATATTAAATATAAAAATATTTGACTTTTTATTTTTGTTTATATCAACCAAAAAAAAAAGCCTAATATAAAACAATGATAAGATAATTGTTATTACAGCGGAGCGGGCAAGACGACATTTCTAGTTGCTTTGGGCGGGAAATGCACCCTCCCGTCGAAGGGGACAGTGACCGTTAAAGGCCGTAACGTTAAGACGCTACAGGGTGTGGTCGAAATTCTCCCGCAGTTTGAAGTGTTCGTGAACAGTTTGAGCGTAATGGAGCATTTGATTTTTATGGTGAGTAACTTGACGTAGTTTGATTTTGCATCTATCTATAGAATTTTTCGTAAACGTCAGCAACACACGCGTGGTACCCCTGGTATTGTTGGCGTTCATAGGCTACGTTAACCACTTACCATCAGGTGGGGCGTATGCTTGTATGCCATCTTAGTGGTATAAAAAATTCTCTGCACTGATATAAATTTTCTATTAATATCTAAAGAATGACAATGTTTAAATGTGAGTCTTTTGTGATTGTTTCCTTGTTTGATATTTAAAGTTACATAAAAATAATGCTTGAGCTCCAACTCCAATTTTTTTAATGGGTGAGAATGGAATAGTAATCCCACTGTATTTGTATATGCTGCGCGGGGCATCAGTGTGAGATAATAGGTGAAAATGAAAACAGGGGGCATACCATGAAATGAAATTCCGAATTTTCGGGCTCAATTTTTGTTCATACCTAAATCGACCCAGTAAATGGAGCTTAACGTTTCATTCATCATAAATCCTATCCTTATAGTCCAGAGGAACGATATTTTAATATTTTTAATAATTTTAAACGGCATGTATTATATAATTTTAACATCAAATTTCTATTTCGTTCGTCCCCGAAATTTCGGAAAGTATTTCTTGGTAGACCCTTAGGTCAGTTAGCTCGTCGTGACGAATTTCATAAGAATTAACCACGATAGTTTCTAGGAAAAAACCGCGTGGAGTTCGACCTAATATATATTAACAATGAGGCTGTTGAACCTCATTACTAACATTTCCCTTTTCCCCAAAATTCTAATTTTAATTCGTGTAAATATCGATAATATCACTAATAGTTATGTAATATTGCTTCAACATTTTACAGATAGAAATAAAATTAGGCAGTTGGAAGAAGGCATCGAACAAATTTATTCTAGATTCATTGATCAAGGAACTAAAATTGTCTGCTCATAAAGATACTTCAATTGAGTCGCTCTCTGGTGGAGAAAGACGACTACTATCTATAGCTACATCGGTATGACCACTTTTGTTACTTAATAAACAACGCTGTGCACTTGAATAAACAATTGATACAAATACTTAGGTACCTGAATTTACTGGGTACAGAGGAATAACATCTGAGTCCTCAGGAATGGCAACGTATGGGGGGTATCATAGGTGAAACAGTATACTCTGTTATGTCCATGCTACTGCTCATGTCTATAGGCGACGGTTACCGCTTTCCATCAGGTGGATCGTCAGCTTGTTTGCCATTCAAAGTTGTATAAAAAAATAAAACTATTTTTCGTAAAGATGTAAAATATGTAATTACTTATTTACATTATAATTATAAGATAGAAAATATTTAGACCAATACAAACAGGCATTCTCAGGAACACAAAATCAAATCCGCAACTGTCGGAAGATTAGAGGCTGTACTAAAAATGTGTAGTTAAAATATGTAGAAGACTTTTTTTTGTAGTTCTGGGTCGCGTAAATGATAGATCGACCCTTTTTTGCTATTGGATATGGGCGATGGGTTAGCTCGAAATATGGGAAATAGAATCAAGAATGATTCTAGAGCGAAATTAAATATTGCAGTGATTGACATAACTGAATTGATAAATATTTAATAGACTTAAGTTAAAATTATTATAAATATAGTTTGTGATGGTCCCTAAAACAATAATTTTGATAAAATTAAGAGATATGGTGTCACAGAATTAACCCCATTGTATGTTTAAATTTATTTATTTTAAATGTTCAATTGGTTTTATTTTTTAAATTGCAGTTACTGTCCAATCCACAAATTTTAATCTGTGACGAGCCTACAACTGGATTAGATAGCTATAATGCACTTTTAGTCATTGATATACTGAAAAAATTGTCTGTGGCGGGAAAAATCGTGATATGCTCAGTACACCAACCGTCGAGTGATTTGTTCAAAGAGTTTAATTCTATACTGTTAATGGCAGAAGGAAGATTACTATTTCACGGGTCCCATGAGGAGTGTAAAGAAGTTTTTGCAAGGTAAGACTTTATCAAGTGACTTCTATAAGACGGAAATTCTCAGTTCGATGGCATTTTTTATGCTTTTTTTTATACCACTGAGGTGGTAAAAAAGCATACGGCCCACCTGATGGTAAGTGGTTACCTATGAACAGCTGCAATACCAGAGGTTAGTCCAGTAGAGAGCTTGTTTCCTCATAACTCAGTTAGTTGTAAATCAATTTGGATTTTTTTTTATTTGAAAGGATATGCTTACAGACTCATCCCATAGAAATTTATCAAAATCTATTTAGTAGGTTAGTTTTTCAAAATAATCTTAATGGCAACGCATGGGGGTATCATGGGCGAAACAGTATAGTCTGTTATGTCCATGGTACTGCTCATGTCTATAGGCGACTGTTACCACTTTCCATCAGGTGGGACGTCAGCTTGTTTGCCATTCTAAGTTGTATAAAAAAGAATTTAATATTAAAAGTATTTTAAATATGGTTTTTTTATTATTATTTCTTTTTATCCTTTTTTTATTATTATTATTATATCAGTCGTCAACTGTTCACTGCTGGATGTAGCCCCCCTCCATAAGGGGGAAGGGGGGTTACCATTAGTTTCCATTTCTGACGACCAATGTGTTATGCCTCTATATCCTGTAATTTCATTGTAATATCCTACTCTTCAACTTGAAACATAGCCATACAAAAACAACTGCTTTACGGCAGAAACATATGCATACGCAGTTTTTGCGTTGGGTTAATCCATGTTAACTTCCCATGAAGAATGATTTTTAATATTATTTTATGATCCATATTTCTTTAATGAAAACATTCAATTTCGCTTTTAAAATTCCACCGTTGTGGAAAAATTGACTACAAATTATATTATGAATCTATAACAAGGGTCACTGACTTCGAATCTTAATACACCATTATTAATAACAAAAATAGCGCCAAATCGATCTAAGCGATGCTCGTTCTCGAGCAATGCGCTTACTAATTTAGTGTGATCTGTAGTTAAAATGGTTGCTACAATCTTAGTTTAAAATATAGTTATATTAATTAGCTAAAATATAACGAAAATGAGATGTTTTTAGCTAATTTTTATTATTTTATAACCTGCCCTAATGGCTGATAGCTATCTATCGCTGGACAATATTAAAAAAAAATCTATTTTATTGGATATCTGTATTTATTCAGAAATCTTGGGTTAATGTCAAACTACTAGCTGCAAGATTTAACTAATTTTGTCAGCAGTCAGTTATTTTTTGGACAAAGATTTTTGTTAAGTAATTTCAATTGAATGAATGAAGTGAATGGAAAACTCTTTATTGTTCAAGATTGATACAGATTACGTAAGTTGACGAATAAAAAAAAATCTTTATTACAAGAAGCAATAATGGATGGTTTTGTCGCTAAATAACAATCTTTTCTAGACAACCTTAGGATGGAGAGGAAAAATTAATGTTATAATTTATTAATTTGTATTTTTCATCTATAGGATTAACTTCCATTGCCCCGAGAATTACAATCCAGCGGAATACTACATTAAAACGGTATCTAATTTAAATAATTACCGTTATGTGGAGATTATGGAATCTTTCCGAGACCGGTCGTGTGAATACGATGATCTGGAGCGTCCGTCTATCGAATTGACAAATAATATGTAAGTATTACAACTGCTACTGGATTTAATTTAGATCACTCTCGATGGAATCAATATGCGTGTATGTAATATTAATCTATCTTCATGCCAAATCTCTTGTAGGGTTGGTAGAGAGAATACAGTGCATAAGTCTTCTATCCTTATATATTTTATCTATTTATTTATTTAACTCTTTATTGTCTATTTATTTTTACATAAAAATATACAATTATAGAAAATTCAAGTGAAATACAGTAGCATAAAGTGTGGATTAAAATATACACATAAAGGTACAAAAGGCGGTCTTACAGATAATCTGTAATAAAAGAAAAACAGATAGAATTGGATAGGTGGTGCAAGAGTGAATTAACAATTAAGTAACAATTTTTACGTGCAGATATCTTACGCTGCATCTATTTTTATAACTTATTCCCGTATGCTAGTTACGGAGACTTTTAACTCAAGTAAAATATTATTTCACTAGTTGATTACAATTAATTTAATTTCACTGGTAAACAAGATTATAGACTAAACGAACTGTAGATGTGGCTGATATTTAAGGTACAGTATAGTTTAAAATAAAGAAATTATATTTCAGCACTAAAAGGAATTGGTTTAGACAAGTTCATCTATTGTTATGGAGGTCATCGATAACACTGAAGAGGAGTATACGAAACCATATTTTTCAATTGTTTATTACTTTGGTGAGTATTTAAACTATTAATTCATACCTCATTGCGTGTACATTGAAGTACTAATAGCATGTACTAATAATACATATAAATATGACAGAGCTGTGCAAATGTACAAAGGAGAACTTAACTCTATGAGAGTTGTCTTTAAGTCTATTATATGTTGAACATAATAAAGGAAGAGTCATGGTTGCGATTAATGTAGTTATTGCAATTATGATTGAGATTTTTTTTTAATGGATGATTATGGAATGGTACTGCTAGCCTGTACCATCGGTATATATTGGCGGGGTACCAGTGAGGGATGATAGGTGAGGATGAAGACGAAGCATGAATCACGATGGTTTCCAGGGAAAACTACGAGGAGGTGTACCTGACAGGGTACATTGCTAGCAATGGAACTACTAATCCATGAGACTTAGATATATTGCTAGCAATGGGGCTACCCATTGCTAGCAATATATATAATAGGGATTATACTAATAACGATATTATAATATTATCCCTATGTATCCATATTATCCCTTCTCCCCCTGATTGAGAATTTAGTACCATTGACTGTACTCAGTTCTATATTAAAGAACTCTGTATATTATTTGTCTTATTTCTTATATGTAATTTATCTAAGATACTATTTAAAGATTTTTTAATGCACAGTAAAATTCTATGTACATTTGGCATACCAACAGATGTAGTTAGCATGATTTAAAAAAATGATTTAATACGTTTTTGAAACTATATATAATGTAAAGTTATTAGACCAATGTTTCTTCAAGCTAATTTCATAGTTATTCCATTTCAAAAACTCATAAGGTACAATAATTTTAATAGATGACATAAATAAACTGGAACTTTCTTGTAGTATACATTTGACTTTACTTCGCTAATGAATTTTACTGTATTTCTTTTTTTGATAGATGATTTTATTTGAGATTGTTTTTCCAAATTATTTCTGATATCTATAAGAATACATGATATATCTATCGACCTTATATGATTTAATCATTTGTAGTCTTAGTTTTGGGAACACTTGACTGGTTGATATTCAACTTTATAAATTAAAACACACATGCAATTACAGATGGGCAAAGCACCGGGTTTAAACCCGGTGCTTTGGTAAAAACCCAATAAACACCCATAAACTCCCATAATCACCCAAAAAAATAGGTTTTTACGTATTTTTTTTAAAATATGTAAGTAATACCAATAAATTATTTTTATAAATTGTATTGATCAATTCTACAATATTAAATAAAACGTTAACTAATAATATTTCAGGAAATTTTAAAAATCTATATATAATAAAATGAAAGTAATTAATTTTCAGTGTTTTCATGTTGCAGTTGATCAACATGTTGGCCTTTTGCTTCCCGTAGATACTTTAAAATTTCTTCATAACACCTCGTTCGCACACATGGCCGTATATATTTAAATTCTTGAGCCACTAACAGTCCGAAATACTCATTTCTTTTATCCTCTTCTCCATAAATTAAGCATTTAGAACAGTTTGTTTCTTCTTTCAGTAAATTTTCTTTTACTTTATCCTCGTTTTTTTTCTTTGTTGCGACGACGCTGGGTAAATCATCTGGACACTGGGTCTCACTATCGCCAAATATATTTGGAGATCGGCTTCGGCTACGGCTTGGCAGACATTTTTTTCTTTCTACAATTTTAAATTAAATTTATTAGAATAAATGCTTCGAACACACGCGATCTAAGTACCTTTTGTGTTTATTATACCTTACCTACCTAGGTATAAAAAGAGTACTTACGTAGATTTTCTTTTATTAACTGTTTTATACGAAGATCTTGATCTCTCAAATTAGCATCCATTTTACTTCCAGTGATTATCAACTAAATTAATAATCCACAAAGTATTAAATAACGTTTTTATGAAATATTTAGCACAAAAACAATACCCTTTAAATATCGATCGTCAGTAACTGTGGCTGACTTACCTATATTCTAGCAAGCAGGACTGCCAGATGTGAAGGGGAAATCCCCAATAAATTGTTGCATGTGACTGATGATGTGAGCATGTTCGTTTCATAATAAAAATGTTGCCAGGTAACCAAAAAGTCGTATGTTTTTGTGCGAATTACGATCATAATCTTTACGATCGTACATTAAAAAATAGACAAATAATAGTATGAGTACGATTTAAATCGTATATCTGTCAACCCTGCTAGCAAGACAGCGACAAAATCACGTTGCATAACAATGTAGCCCAAGCTTATATCTTATGAAATATACGGAAGAGATACGGACTTAGAAAAAACAGAAATGTTGTTCTTTGTGGAAGTCATTGATGAAATTCTATGTATTTTAGCCCGCAAACTTTCTTCAAACAAAAACAGCGCCATCTAGTATCGAGTTCTGTAATTATCTCTTTGTTTATGGATTTGAAGTAAGACCGCCACGCATGCAATACATTATGACTGGGGATTCCCTATTCGTCGACGCTGAATATGAGGCGACGACAATCACTGTCAAACGTGTTCACTATTACTCTGACTCTGGTAACGTGACTTCCTGGTAACGTGTTAGGTAGGAAAAGCAGTAAAAAAGTGCATATTAAGGGAGCAGATTTGAAATAATATTTATACTTAACAAGAAATAATTAAAGGTAAGTGGATTTTTGAATGATACAATTATATCATGATCACTTAACAATTTTAACTTAAAATTAGATGTATTATTACAAGCTTTTATTTAGCTTGCGTTATGTAAATAAAAGTATGTAGGTATGTTCGTATGTTGATGCAATTATCCTCAATCCTCAACCGACTGGGATAAAATTTTCCATACACGTTTATTTTGGATGATAGTGCATAGTTAGCTGAGAGTCGTCATTGGATAATAATGGTGGATAGCCTAAGATGTGTACTAGATATTTATTTTTAACATAATATGCGTAAGTACCTAATCGAATTAAAGAAGTTGCTGAGAAAAATACAGAACAATACGATAATAAACTAGCGTCTGCGTTTAATCCTCCGAGGAGATGTAATTTTACAAAGGTTTTTTGTATTTATTTTATTATTTTTTTAATAAATTTATTGTAAATAACAAGAAATAATCATTGTAAAAAAATAGGCACTCTATTGTTGAATTTTCGTCAGACCAACTAATCATCGTTCATTTTTTTAGGTTCAATGGGGAGACCTAAAGATTTACGCATATGGGAGCACTACCGTACTTTACCAAACAAGTCTGTTTCTTGCAAGCTTTGTAATAAGGTCTACAAATTCAGTAATGCTGCCAAAATGCTTCAACATCTTATCACTTGTCCAAAATCTCCAGAAACATTAAAAGACTCTATGAAACTTATAAAAGATAGCTCGTCCAAAACCAAAATGTCTGGACTGTCAGAGATAGAGACAAATGATTCTTTTATAAGCCCCTCGTCGTCTGCTAACACTACAATAAATGCTGAGTTTCAAGACACCGATGATCATATAAAAACAGAATTAGCGAGAGCTATATTTGTAACAGGGACGCCATTATCGATGGTGCAACATCCTTTATGGATACAATTTTTCGAAAAATTGCAACCAAAATTTAAAATACCTTCACGTAAAGCTTTAGCGACAAAATACTTAGATAAAATATATAGAGAAATGCGTTTTGAGTTAAATGAGGAACTAAATGCTTGTAGTTACTTACACCTTCAGTGCGATGGCTGGTCTAATTTAAGAAATGAAGGAATAATAAACTTTCTTATATCAAAACCTCAACCTGCATACGTTAAAAGTTTGAATACAGAAAGTAATCCTCACACTAGTGAATACCTTAGCCAAGAAGTTGAAAAAGTAATGAAAGTGTATGGAGCAAATAAGTTTCTTGTACTTATTGGCGATAACGCTAGAAATATACAAAAGGCATTCGAATTAACAAAACTCAAATATCCACATGTTGTTCCTCTCGGTTGCTGTGCACATATCCTTAACTTGTTGTGCCAAGATATTGTAAAGATACAAGAAGTAACTGTGTTTATTATGCAAGCCATAAATATAATAAAAACTGTTAAAAGGAGTCAACGATTAAGTTCCTTGTTGATAAAATCAAGGCAGGGTGAAGATTCTACACAAACACTAAAATTGCCTTGTGCTACAAGATGGGGAAGTCATGTTACTTCGTTAAAAAGTTTGAAAGCAAATAAGATAGCTTTGCAAATATTAACAGTTAGAGAAGATGTGGTAATTTCAAGAGATATTAAAGATTTAATTCTAAGTGATGATTTCTGGACGAAGACAGGGGAATGTATAAGTATTTTGGAACCAGTCACTGAAAGCATATTTTACTTAGAGAGCGACCAGAATCGTTTGCATCGCACATACATTACATTTAGAGATGTACAAGCTAAGATACGTTTTGCATTAAATGAGATTTCGACATTGAGCGAAGAAAGCAAACAGCAGATTCTAACATCAGTATCTTCAAGATGCAATATGGCAATGAGGCCAATACATTTTGCAGCATATATTCTAGACCCCAGGACTCTAGGAGTCGAACTTACTCAAGAGGAAGAACTTAAGGGTATGGAGTTTATCTACAATTTAAGCCAACACTTAAGTTTGTCAAATGTAATGGCAGATTTGGCGTGTTATAAAGCTAAAGAAAACTTTTGGGCCAGAGGATTTGTATGGAGCTCATTAGATAGCATTGAGCCCCTAATATGGTGGAAAGGTATTTGTGGTTCCACTGAGTTAAGCAAAGTAGCGATTCGTATTCTATCAGCTCCCTGTACTTCGGCAGCCACTGAGCGTTCCTTTAGTATCCAAGGCTACATACATAATAACAAAAGAAATCGACTTACAACTGAAAGAACTGAAAAAATTTCATTCATTTGTTATAACTGGAATCTTAAACATAAAGCTGAATGCGAGGACATTCAGTTTAATGAAGAAAATACCTTAGAAGCTTTCATTGAGCAAGTAAATGAACATAACAGTTTAGACGAAATAGAGCCTATCGAACCTATACAATTCATCGCTTGTAATAACTCTGAATCTGACAGTGATTGACTGTAGTTTTACATTTTACTTTCATCTCTTTCTTAATAAACTCAAAATCAAATTAAAAGTTTTTTATTCTGTAGGCTGCATAATAATATTGTCTATGTCCAGTATAGTGGACGTCTTGCGGCTGAGATGACGATGATGAAGTACAAAATCATAAACACCCAAAAATTTGGGTGTTTATGGGGTTTAAACCCAATAAACCCAAAACACCCGGTTTTTACCCACCAGACTTTAAACCCACCCAGGTGGATTGCCCATCTCTACATGCAATACTTTCACAAATTTTTAATTAATTTATTTTTGTGTGTTTTTTTTTAAATATCTTAAAAAATAATTAGAGGCTCAAGTCACATTTATAACGTCAGAGGGAGACTTTGTACAAAAGTCGATTGTTTGGGTACCTCTGTCCCATTCGTGTTTCTGTCGTGAAGCAGTTATGATTGCATGGCTGTATTTCGGTTTGAAGGGTGGGATATGGCGTTTACAGGGTACAAAGGAATAACATCTGAGTCCTCAGGAATGGCAACGCATGGGGAGTATCATAAGCGAAACAGTATACTCTGTTATGTCCACGGTACTGCTCATGTCTATAGGCGACGGTTACCACTTTCCATCAGGTGGGCCGTCAGCTTGTTTGCCATTCTAAGTTGTATAAAAAAATGTTTTGTTAATTTCAGATGTTATCGTCAATGGTGTTGGGTATATGCTTCGGTGGTGTCTCTGGAACTACTCCACGTGGTACTCAGGATATGCAAGGATTGCTCTGGCTATTAACAAGCGAACTGTCGTTTATTTTAGCATACAGTGCCCTGAATATCTTCAGTACAGAGCTGACGCTTTTCAAGAGAGAAGTTGGAATGTATGATTGTTCGGCGTACCTTGTGGCTACGTTTTTATGTTTTGTAAGTTAATTTAAACACTTATAGGGGAGGCCTATGTTTTGGCAGTGGATAATTCACGGCTGATAATGATGATGATGATAAATAAATAATAAATAAAGAGAAATAGGTAAGTACCGTATATATTGTTATCAAATACTGATATATACCGATATATATATTAAATATCAATCAAATTATTTCCTCTCATTCAAAGGTTGCCTGGAAGAGATTTTTAGCTTTTAGTGAAAAGTCAAAACAATAAGGAGTTTCTATCTATCTATCTATAGTAATACCCTTATTCATAAACACGGCAAACATAAACCTATTTTGGCTCTATTTTTTTCTTTTGCGCTAATTTCCAAATTTGAAAGATAGTGACAAAACATCGTAACAGTTAAAATAGGTTTGAAATACGTTTTAGTTTTTATAAATATTAATAGTCAATAGTTGATTGAAATATTTGAATTGGCAACTAGAAACAGTTTGTATGGAAAAAGCAAAATGAAAAAGAAACGTATTTATGGGCAATTTTTCTTGGGACTTTAACGAATATTTAAAACAACAATAATTAGCCGTTCTCTAATATATACACATTATTATATTATTATTATAACATATTTAACGGTTTTTTTATTTATATAGATAGATTAGAATTGAAAGGAATTCTTTTCCAGTTACCTCGCTGCGTGATATGGCCATTCACACTCGTAATCGTAGCGACTACAGCAGTGGAGCTCCCAAACCATGTTCTCACTGCGATCAAGTTCATCACAGCTTTATTTTTCACGGGTTTATCTTCTGTTGCTTTTGGTGAGAATATCAACTTACATTTTATATATATGATACTAGTTTTTAATGCATGATAATGGAATTGTAACCTCGTCTACGATAATGGTATACGCTGATGAGGCATCAGTGAGGGGTGATAAGTGAGAATAAAAGGATTAGTTAGCCCTTCATGATGAATACACCTGGTATTCAGTACGATAGTTTCCAAGGGGACCACGGGGAGGTCGATCTGATATATTACAGGTATATAATTAGCAATGGAATTGATAGTCCGCATTATTAACAATCCCTTTCCTCACGTGATACTAGTTGTAATATAGCGTAAAGTCGTCTACCATTAGATAAATCATACTGTTTTCTAGGGGAGGCCGCGTAGAGGTCGACTTGAGAGGGTACGATAACTACACTTTGATAATGATATTTACCAGAGGGAGACTTTATACAAAAGTCGTTTGCTTGGGTCCTCTGTCCCATTCGGGTTCAACTGTAAAGCAGTTATGTTTGCATGACTGTTTCGGTTTGAAGGGTGGGATATGGTGTGAATTTACAGGGTACAGATTTAAATTCTAATCGGTTCAGAACTAACGGAGTGATGAGGTAACAAACATAAAAGAACATAAAAGTTGTATAAAAAAAAATTAAGAATCTTCTTTTTTTTAAGTCGGATGAAAAATAGTGCGTAATTTATAGATTTTAATAACCAACTTATATGGTACAAAATTATTTCAAGGCCTCGGAATGGGAGCCATTTTCCTTACGTCAGGATTGATGGACGACGTGATGTCGGCCGTGGACATGCCACTGCTGCTGGTGTCAGGGGTATTCCTTCAGCTGACATCGTTGCCTGTCTGGTTGTATCCAGTCAAATATCTCTCCCATTTCTACTACGGAATGGATGCATTGAGCAATATATATTGGAGACAGGTTGATCATATCGGTGAGTAAGCTAATTATTTAACAATTTCATCCACGGTCAATACTGAAGACGTCGAGTTGAAGGGCAACACTGTGAGCACTGTATGTACACGACGGCTTATAAACACAACCAGTGGCAATAATACGGCAGACGAAGAGAAAGACTACGGAGACCAGACGTACATACCCGAAGAGTTCCGAACGCCGTGTTCCTTGTATGTGACGATGCCTACAGCTCACGTTCAGTGGGCCGAGATACGCAATTCGGATCGTGCGCGCATCACAGTCGCTCATGACTAAGAATCACGAATTGATTCTGAAACTAGTCGAGATTTTTCGATCTAATTACACGAAAGTTAAACTGGTAGTTATTGAATTAAAATTACTTGATACATTACCAATTAAAATTTATTATTGTGTCGCTCGGGCCATGGCCAGAGTCCCCTTTATAAAAAGAGCTAATACTTGTATTAGTCTAACATTATAATTTTGGATTTCCTTTCTCTTGCACTAGGTATAATGCTGTGTTTTTCTGATAATTTCTTATTATATTAATTCAATATGATAACTTGTATTCTTACCATAAGGAGTGGAGTAAATCGATATCAGACAGATAAATATTTTTAAATTTTATAATTGACTCAAATTGTACTAAAAAAAATTAAGGGATAAAACAAGTGAAATTAAGAAAATAAATGAATGATGGACTACTTATTTGTATAAACTTTATTGACTAATAAAACGTGGTATAAAAGACGGATTTAATGTTATAGCTATTCTTTATCAGTTAAACTTAAGTATGTTCAGTGATACTCGATGGTGGTTTAAAAAATAAAATTATTTATATTGTAGTAAAATATTTTATGAATGTTTGTAAGTAGGTAATTTAAAATAAACATGCATATTAATATAATATTTACATATTAATACCTAATTATGCTTTTTATTTTAATTTACGCTGTTAAAACCGTAGGTTATTAAAATAGGTAGTGGAGCCGATTCCGTGACGCCATTTTTCTAAACCTTAGATTATATAGATAGTTTCCATACAAATACTTAGAGAAAAGCGGGTCAACTTTTATACTCATACAGTTTTGCGTGATAAATAGTTATGAGTGATACCTTCATAACTTCTAGATTTATTTTGTTTTAAAATTATGCACCCTAATTTCTGTTTAATGCACAAAAAATATTTTATTTATTAATAATTAAATATAAATACATCAAGACATTGTGTGCGTATGTATATAGAACTTTAATAAAAAAACGAGTCAGCTAATTGTCAAAAAATTTACCTGTTTTAAAGGCTTGATGCTCTATCTAAATAATCTAAGCTCTAAATCTTTATCTCTTAACCTTATATTTTAGTTGGGTAATTTCGTGAAACTATTGTTTCATGGACCATCATAAACTATATTTTATATATATATATATATATATATATTGTCTTTAATTTATTAGAAATTAATTCAAATTGTCCTTTATAGTAAAGACTCCGCTGTGATATCAAATTTTAATTTTAATAGTAGATTTAGAGAAATTACGTCTCATAATCAACCACATTACGTAATTTTGCTTTTGTTTTCAGATTGTCCATCAAATTGTACTGATCCTTGTATCAAAGATGGCATATCAGTTCTGATCTACAAGGGTTATTCTAATGATTTCATTCTACAAGATACTTTCGGGCTGCTGTTTATTATGTCAATGTGGGGTGTATTAGCTTATTTTGGATTGAAACGAGAAGAAAACAAAGGATATGCATATTAAAATAGTTTATTTATAAAAATTGTAATAAAAATATATTTTACATACATCTAGTTTTAATTATTACATCTAATTTAGTACCTAATATAATAATAGATAGGTAGGTAAGTATGTATACCAATTATGGACTTTACAGCCGAAGGTTGCAAAAAATTAACGTTTTCTTAATAAATATATTTTAAAAATAAGAAATTACATGTACATTGATTACTACCTTATATAACGATGAATTAAAAACTAATATGGAAAGTTTTCATGTCTTGCCTTGTTGGCGTCAATGTGCCTATTTTCTGACAGCAGCGGCGGCCTTACCCATTGCGAGGCAGTAGGTCTTTGCGAGGCCCTTTGTCCTTCATGAAAGTATATGATGCGAAACTAGGTCTGGTTGTTTGATTGAGGTATTTGTCATGTAATATAATAATGACAAATAGTAATAAATAATAGTGACATACACATGTATATTATCTCAAATTATTGGAAAGTAAAAAAAAATTCCACTGACTCAATAAATACTGTCTTATTTTACATTTTATTTACAATTGATTATTTTATTTCTATATTTTAGTATTGGTAATTTTGTTCATTCACGATTAAAATGCCTAATTCAGGAAGTTTTTGCGACTTGCCACTAGATAAAATGCCACTCACTGGTTGTTTAAAATTTGCTTGGGTTACGCGAGGCCTCTACAAGAGTGAGGCCCCGGGCGATTGCCCTGTTCGCCACCCCTTAAGGCCGCCGTGCCTGATAGTCCCCCTCGTGCAGGGTGCACTGTTTAACCGTGCAAGCGATGCTATTTCCCTATGCTAGCGTCGCGTATTATACCTATATACACTTATCTATTGAAATATATGTATATACACAAATATGACGGAATTAAGATATAAAAAATTGTAATTGCCTACTTTTAAATCTTTTTGCAAATAATTTTATTCAAACAAAGATTAATTCTACGCTATTCAAATGAGTTCTAACAAACAACAGTATGAACAATTAGTAGATATATATTTAAGTACAAACAATGATTATGAACTTACTTTTTTTTTCATAGTAATGCTGAAATTACATAGTTTCAATAAAATAATACAGTTTGAAAAATTATTACTAGTAAACAGGTGTCCCTCTACTTCTTTTAACAACCATGAGGAATGCAATAACATTTCCTATACCATACATAACTACCAAACAGAAGCAATCTCTCCAAAAATTATCCCGTTTGTAACCAAACCTAATCAGCACGTCGGCCCCAGTGGTGATACAAGGCATATCTTGAAATCTGACATCGTTGTCACTCACACACCTGATATTCGTTATAGAATCCCATTGCAATATAGATATACACTCCACACCATAGTAAAATCCTGAAATATATTTGAGCCAAGCGAAGTAAGGTGACGCACTGGCCAAATTGAGGTAAATACCAGCGAATAATAAACTTATTAAATCATATGGTACCGCTATCAAAGCAGCGGTCTCCAAATTGTCGAAGACAGCTGATAGAAATGATCCTGCAATGATAAATAGAGGAATGTATGTGCTTATTGATAATTGTGATTGCTAAGTGCTTTTTACACGACTGCCCAACAAGGAGTGAAATGTTTTCATTGTTTGTCTACATACATATAGAACTAGAAATTAAGGAACTCACTATGTTTTGTCGTTACCGACAGTAGTGCGAGGGGGGGAAGGGATTGTTGGTAATGGGGATCAGCAACTTTATTACTAGCAATACACCCTATCAAGTCGACCTCCTCGCGGTTCCGCCTGGAAATCATCGTGACTGATCTTTTGGTGAATTTATCACGATGGGCTAACTGAACTGCTTCATCTTCACTTATCATCTCTCACTGGTGCTCCGCTTGTGTATACAGATAGCGCAGGCGGGGACACCATTCCATTATCATCCATTAAAAAAAAAACAGTAGTGCGAGGCAAGAGTGTCTCGCAAAGCGCCAAATGCCCTTGAAGAAGACTTTCGGATGAAGTCGAAACAATTATGGGAAACGGCAAAACACTGTGAGTTCATTAATTTTCCGTTATATATGGATCATAAAAATTGAACATAAGTTTTTTGAAACAATGATCATATGAGATTTTTTTTTATCACCATAACTTCTAAATGCCTGAACAGATTACGATGTATGGAATATCATAAGACCCTTATAACATTCTGAGTGGCATTGACTATAACTTTTTTGATAGGAATGTCGTGTTTTTTAATAACAGAGTAAAATGTACTTATTTAGTACCCACTAAACCTTAATGCTTCGGATGTTGGGTTTCTACTAGGTAAAACATGCTACAGAAATGAAAAGCTATGAAGCAGGTTATAATTATGGTGAATCTCATACGGTTGTTAAATTACTTTGTGACATGAAAAATTAAATATTTTTTTTATAGATTATCTCCTTAACTAAACTATTGAATAAAAAGTGTAAGCAGTATTGATAAAAAGTGCTGTATATAAGTATAAAGTACTCTTACTTGTTTTACTCTGATGTACTATATATAAATGTACATGTGAGTTTATTTGTTACCTGAAAGCTTAACGTCTTAACCAATCACTATGAATGGTATACACGTATTATATTAGATTGAGATTGCTATAAATAGCAAGAATCACGACGTATTTTGTGATTTCAATTCTATAGGCAATGGTTGTGACTTTCCATTAGGTGGGTCGCCAACTTAATTACTATTCTATGTTGTATAGAAAAAAAAAAAATATATATATAGTGACCCATCTGGTGTTAAATAAAAATTGTCTTTATCCATAGATAATATAATTTAGGATTTCGTTTCTCAAAAAAAAATGCCGACTTCAATCGTGGCTAAATCAGTTCTTTGATTTATTGCTTTTAATAAATTTTTTATGACAAATATGATATGATAATCTGAAAGTATATCCTTTCAGATAAAAACAATTGCAAAATGGTTTATAAATGACAAAGTTCTAAGGAAACAAACAAAACAATATACAATAGTCTTTGAACAACCTCCCTGTTTTCAGTCATGCTATATCTTTCCTTCGTTGCCAATTAAGAGTTCTTATTTTATTTAAGAATTTTTTCTCAGAAATTCAACGCCTTTATTGCTATTTTATGTGGAAAATGTGTATAATGAACTTTCTATAGTCATATAACCTCATACCTACCTAATAAACAGGTGTGCCTCTGCTTCTTTTAACAACCATGATAAAAGCAATTAAGTGTCCAATACAGTACATAGTTAGTAAGCAACAACAATTTCTAATGAAATGCGATTGGTCGTAACCATATCTTTTTAAAACGTCAGGGCCAGTTTTGATGCAAGGCATACCGGGGATGTTAACGCAGTTTATGGACTCAATGGAATCCCATTGGAGGATGGAGATAGACTCGACGCCATAATAAAAGCCCGAGACGTAACGCAACCAGGATATGTAAGGGTAAGCGCTGTCTAGGTTTAAGTAGATGCCAGAGAACATAGTGCCAATCAGCTCAAAGGGTACGGAGAAAAGGGCCGCAGTTTCCATTTTGTCGAACACAGATGAAAGGAAGGAGCCTGCAATATTAGAAATTTAAGGTAATTAGCCTCCAACCAGGATTATCGATAAATACGTTAGAATCTTATCACCTACAAATAAATTTTGTCCTCTTAGTATTTCCATCGGAATAACTACGGTTAACATTTCAGATTTCAAAATATGTTTTAGGTCAGAAATTAGAGTCTATCATGAAATTTGAAAAGTCCGAAATTTCAGAGCCTTATGAAAAATTTGAATATAACAACATCTATTACAAATTATTACAAACGTGTAAAATACAAATATAAAAATATTTGTTTTTTAGAGATTATAGCAGAGTTTATGATTAACAAAATTAGGTTCAGTCTAAGTATGAACATATATATTTCGTTACACGCACGAAATTTTAGTCAGGTATTTCGAAATGCTTTTTATTGGTAGAATCCTGATAGTTATATTTTTGTCTGTAGGTGATGTGAGAATAAGTAGGTTTCAATTAAAATTGCATTACAGTATATCAAGGCATACAAAAGGGACTTTACTAGTCATATTAACTACGGGTAAAGATTATATAATATCACAAATAATAACATGTTATACTAACTACAGGTATATCATGCTCGAATGGAATTTAAAAGAGACGAATTAAGGATTTTGTAGAATACATAGAGTGAAGTAAATGACTTACCATAGGCATTTGCAAAATTAGCACATAGAATGCAAACAAAAGTGAATCCAAGCCAACCGTAAAAGCCGCCGTGTAGTCCGGCGACACCGAAAATCAACGAAGCATATAATATCGGTTCTATAATTGCTCTGGGGATCTGAAAATAGAGACAGAGACAGTTTTCAAAGATGTAATATTACATATCTTTAATTTGTAACGTATAAAGAATAAAAAAGGCAAAAAGATATCATTTTCTACTCGTTTCTTTACGGCTTTGGAAATTTTAAACTAAATTTAATTGAATTTATTATTTAATTTGATTGTGTGTACTAGCCTATAAGCATTATAAGTAGATTTATAATATGTTAATATCTAAATAAAGACCAAATCTATTAATATTAATAATATAAAATGCATTAAAATACTCAATGCGATAAATAAATTTATTTGTTTGTTATAATTAGCTTTATTTGTTTTGTACTTAAAAAGTCTATGAAATCTAAAGCGACTAGACACGAATCGGAGGTCGAATTTGTACTAAGGGTACTTCATTTCCACTAGTATTTCTGTCGTGTAACAGTTGTGCTTTTATGGCTGTTTCTGCTTAAAGGGCTTTTTGCTAATATGACAGTGTATTTAAAAGGTATGAAAACTTAATATCATAGTCCTCAGTAATATAGTCTGTATGTTATAATTACTACTTTTCATCTTAAAAAAAAAAACTACTTTTCATCAGGCCATCAAATTGTTTGCCATTACCAATTGCAATTAAAGAAATATACTTACCCAAAATATCATCTTAGATAGATAATAAGGAAGCGGCGAGTACAATCCACTGGCTGTCTCTCTAAGCAGTACAGGAACCTCACTCGGGAAGGTGATGAAGACTGCATAGATGAAGAGGAATATCGTCTCCGTAATGGTGAGGTACAAGAGACCTTGGACGTTTTGAATGTCTCGCTGGTCGAGTTCGTCGAAGTGTCCCATGTATGGAATTGAGATTATTAAGCCGACGAACTGTGGAAGAATTGTTTAGTCGGTATTAATGAGATCTTATAATATTAGATTCGTTTTAAAAAAGATACTTGAGTAACTGTAGGACGATCTCAAATGCATTGCAGGGAGTTTGTGGTTGCAGGTAGCTTAGAACTGTTCCTTAAGGCAGTCTATGGGGGAGGTCTATGTTCAGCAGTAAATAGATAATGGCTGATATGACGATGATGATGACGACCCGTTTTATTACTTTCTAGGTATATCTAAGGTATATTGCTAGCAATAGCACTATTTAGAATCCATTACTAATAATCTTTTTCACCCCTATTTGGCCATATTATCGTTTAAAGTTATGGCATTATTAATGCATTGTCGACCTATATGACATGAAGATTTGGTTACGACAAGAGAATATATATATATATATATATATATATATATATATATATATATATATATATATATATATTATGGTATGATATCCAGTATTTTTATTACCTATAAGGTAATAGTAGACTAGTACCCTTCTTTTATGGGGAAGATCCATGCCCAACAGTGGGATATTAATGGATTTTCATAACAACTTACTTGAATGCTAGTTTGAATATATAAATTTGAATATGAAAGTTAAAAAAAGAAAGGGAATAGTAACTATACAATTGCTTACCATTAGAAGTACAAATTCTGCTATCCATATTGAGCTGTTGTGTTTTATGGACTGTATATTTCTCCACATTAACCAGTAAAATTGGACGAAGTAATTAACTTTGACTCTGTAAAATGAATAAAGAAAATGTGATTGTTTATTAAATTAAACTGAAGTAATTTAGTTTTTGTGTGGTAACGGTGTTAACAATACAATGTCACCATTTCTTTTCATTTAACTACACGATATTAAAAGAAACGAGTACATTACACTGGAGAAATAGAGGGAAAACTAAAAATAATATTATACCAAGCCAAGTAGCCAGTGTGATAATAGTAGGCACCTGGTACGTGAAAAAACCCATGCCTAGTAATAAGATATAAATGAAATAGGCTATTAAGAAAAGAAAGTATTTGAAAACCACGTAAAATTAAATTTGATATATCCTAACATAACCTTCAAGAAAAGAGTATATTCCTTTTTAAAAGGCCGGCAGCACACCTGCAATGCCGCTGGTGTTGTGGGTGATCATGGGCGGCGGTAGTCATTTACCATCAGGTGAGCCGCATGCTCGTTTGCCCCCAGTGTTGTAAAAAAAAAATCCTGAAGATGGTAAAAACTGCATAACTGCTGTTTTGTTTGCGGTTTTCTATAAGACACAAATCGTCTGGAGCGGTAATAAATTTGAATTGAGTGGAATGAATGATTCAAGAAAGAACTCTCATGTACTTACAGAGTTAAATATCTTCGGAAGGCTTCATTCTGAAATAAAAAGTAAATATTTAGAGATTAAAATTACAAGAAAAAATACACTTGTACTTAATCAGTTAAAAAAGAAACTGAAATTTCAAACATAAAAAAACATATTGATGAATTTATTTCTATCAAACTACCAAAACGTTTTCAAAGCCTTACCTTTCCATCGGTCTCTCCATTGAAATATTCCGCTTCGTCTTGTACTTCCTCCACTTTACTCTCTATATCCGCAGCTATCTCCGAGCGCTGGTACTCATCACATATACGCCTGATCCGTTCCCGGCTTTCCAATTCCTTATCAAGTTGCACACCAAGTAACGTCACGTAGTATTCTGCTGCGTTGAAACCCACAGGGCATTTGTAGTTTAATCTGTATAAAGGGGGATTGATTATAGGCACATTGTTTTGTGTAATGAGATCCCGGGTGCGATTCCCGGTCGGGCCAATTTAGGAAACAAACGTTTTACTCTATCGACTCGGGTCGGATTCTTTATATTACAGAGTATCCTTGCTCGAAGATATTTGTGTGACTTTGTAGCAATTATTATTTATTATTTTTATTCAAACAATTTTATATTGCTTGATTGAGATAAAAAGTTGTCTATATTTTTCTCCATCTCAATGGTATACCAATATCATGATTAATAGTTGAACCGTTGAGGTGCTAAGAGATAATGAACCATTAAAATACACTCAACTTCACGTTTATAATATATTAATAAGGATTGTTTTATATAGTCAGTTTGGTTGTGCAATATATGGTATGCCTAATAGTCAGTCACCATCGCAGCCCATGGTTTACAACGTTTACAACATAAGATTTAAGTTCATGATGCATCCGCTGTATCTTCCTCTTAAATACGCTTATGCAAATCGAAATTTTACCTCCGTCTTCACATAGATATTGAAATAAAAATAAATATTCATATAAAAAAAAATCTGGGAATTAAAATCCTCTTTCTATAACATTATGTAAAGAATAATTTACCTTTCATATCTAAAGTCTAATAAAAAGTTTCATAATTATTAGAATCTCAAGCTATTCTAGACTCAAGTTACTTACGATCCAAAGAATTCTGCAGCTTGGTCTATTGTCCCATGAAATGCTGTTCTGCCATTAGCCAATAGGACCACTTGGTGGAACAGCTCGAAGACTCCTGAAGCAGGCTGGTGGACTGAGCAGATTACCAGTTTACCTCCAAGTGCTAGCTTCCTGAGTCTCGATACCACAGCGCTAGCGGCCCAACTGTCCAACCCAGTTGTGGGCTCATCGCAAAACAGAATCGGAGGATCATTTAGTAGCTGTAATATTTATTGTATTAGAAAATGATAGGTTCATCCAACAATTCATTTATTGATAGGACTGAAAGAGTCTCCTAATAGAATATTTGGTTTTACCAGGTGGTAATCAAGTATACAGCTCTTCTAATGGTATTTAAAAGCTTACAGATGTATATAATCGCCTGCAAGATCAGCTCTCCTAGATAAGTAGCAAACGTATTTCTTAGTAAATTTTTATTAGCATATACTATACAAGACAAAAAATAAAATACCAAATGTTTCCGTTTCAATCTATCTCATGTACACAGTAAGGATAATGTATCTATCGATATATAGATTAGTGTTTTGTTCTTTTTAGGGCAAAGCAATAAATTGAGTTGTGACCATTTTGTGTTACTATGGCACACGCATGAAGAAAAGGAAAGAAAGGAAATTGTTGGTTTAAATATTTTGCTTATTGTTTTTTTTTTTTGTTTTGTTGCTTTTTTATTTTCATTCTTTTATCTCTTTTACTGTGTATATGTAACATACACATAGTATGTTTTTCTTTATTGTAATTTGTCTGCTTTAAGTAATGTAAATAAATTATCTATCTATCTATTCGTTTGTCTTTTTATTAAGGGGGCAACAATGTTACCATAAATAATATTTTTTAGTCTGATAGCCCTACTATTAAAGCACCTGATGCGAAATTATAATAGTCTAGGCAAGGACATATAGCTTCATGGTAAAAATAGGTAAGATTATTTGTTGCAATGTAAAATATACTGTGGATGTTTGTACAAAATAAAGTTTCTTTCTTTCTTTCTTTCAATAATCGTTCCTAGTATATGGAAGAGGAGCCATTGTTCAAATGCTAATGATGATGATGAAGTGCAAAGGCTTATTGTTATTGGTTATTTACCTGTACAGCCAAGGCTACCCTCTTGCGTTCGCCTCCAGACAGGGCCTTCAGCTGAGTCCGAGTACAGTTCTGCACTCCAAGCTCGCTCAGCAATTGTTGTATACGCTTTGCCCTCATTGTTTTCGACGATCGCTTATCCATCATTAATCGTGCCTGTTTGAGAAGGAGTTCGGATTAATTAAGGTTTTTCTTTCATAGTTTAGAGGAGTTATGTTGTTTTATAAGAAAAAGATTGTAAGAATCACCTAAATTGGTTCAAAATTGAGAAAAATATTGCGTAATATATGTCGACACTAGAAAATTGAACTGAGAATATTTTCCTTTGTGAAGTCAGTCTGCGTAATTGGGGTATGTGTTAACCACATTAAAAACTAACCTTTATTCTGCTTCATCCCGTATCCAAAATGTTTACCATATTTCATGACTAATTGTCGAGGAAAAGGAAGAGAGGAGAAAATCCGCCAATTTCTCACTGCTTCGATTTATGAAACTCTGCTGAAATGTTTCTACAAAACTAACAAAAACATACTGTAACTGATGGAATACGATTTGAGTTCGTTCACCCAATTAAAGTGACGGTTTCAATTTAGCAACAAAAAACCACGGATATCTTACATAATAAAACCGATTGAGGTACATTATAAAGAGCTACTTTTGTAAGAGTGAAGAGATTGTTAATAATGGGGATTAGCGAATCTACTGCTGATACCAAACTTTGTTTTACGTCCATATGGTCTTTTCGGAAAACCATTGTGGTTAAATCACTGTAAATTTGTCTCAACTGATCGACTGATTTCACTTTGTCCTCAGTTATCATTCCTCATTGATACCTTTTTAATAGATTCCGAATTACCGATAGCGTAGGTGGAATTATCGTTACTATTTCATTTGAAAAATAAATGCGATTGTTTGGCCCTCTTAGAGTTTATTTTCACGTCTGGTACCTTACAGGGTAGGCAGGAGATCTAAATTTAATGGTTAACATATATATTAATATGATTATCTTTAGTTGCGACTCTGTACGGATAAACGCAGTGAAGGACGCTCCTTCGCTAGATGGAGTGTACGACCTCAAATGCATTGCAGGGAGTCAGTGGATGCAAGTGGCTCAGGATCGGTCCTTTTGGTAGTCTATGGGGGAGGCTTATGTTCAACAGTTGACAGATAATGGCTGAAATGATGATGATTGTTATCCTTGTGTTGATTTCTGACTTTCATCATATCACCCTTTAACTATCTACTGCTGAACATAAGCCTCTAGCTTGGAGGGTTTTACCAGCAGTTGCCACGCTTGGCAGGCAGATTGGCAACTACAGCTAGACTTTAAAGATGTTTTAAGAGCGATGCTGCTACCCATTCCTCGCCCTCTCGTAGTCATCTTTTACAACACCCACGGGAAAGGACGGGGTGGTATTTTCTATGCTGGAACCACTCGGCATTTCTGACTTCACTCACCGTAAACTCCATATGTTCGGCCACGGTCAGGTAATCTATTGAAAGATCCTCCTGCGGTAAAAAGCCGGATATCCGAGCTATAAGATCTGCACCAGCCAGTCTTCCATTCAGCATCAGGTATCCAGTTAGAGCACTTTTGTCGCGGCGACTGATCGCAGCTAGCAATGTCGTTTTTCCGGCTCCACTATTTTTACAAAATAAGTATTCAATATATATTTTTTTTATTTTTCTGTTATTGATAAGATCAGAAAAAGGATATTGGGTGTAGCTTAAACAACTTGATAGCTTTTACAAATGAGATACTGCCAGAATGATTTTCATTTTCATAATTTTACCTTCAGTATTATCCCTTAACATGACAAACAAGGTTGGGATATGGCGTGAATTTACAGAGTACAGATGAATAACATCTGAGTTCTCAGGAGTGGCAACGCATGGGGGGTATCATGAGCGAAAGAGTATACTCTGTTATGTCCATGGTACTGCTCATGTCTATAGGCGATGGTTACCACTTTCCATCAGGTGGATCGTCAGCTTGTTTGCCATTCGAAGTTGTATAAAAAAAAAACAATTATTTTGTTGTAGAGTTACTTGTTCCTCTGTCATGTCCAATTATTAAAAAAAAATATGCAATTGAGATAAAATTAATATAGGAATACATAACACGGGAATGTACACTTTATAGATCAAAAAAATAAAAAGAAATATCCAATCCAATAATTTTACTATTGATTTATTCGTGTACATAAAAAGAAATACAGTAGAATCGAGAGTCTTCTATTTTTTGTAATTGTTTAAAAGAGTATAAAATAATTAAATTAATACTTTACCTTGAACCCATCAAAGCTACTAAGTTTCCTGACGAGACTGTTCCACTCACTGAAACAAAAAAATAGCCATACAGTAATTGGGAGAGATAGCAGTGTACCTATATAGGTTTTTAACTGATGATAATGGAATAGAAATTCCACTTGCACTACTGTTATATGCTGGCGGGGCACCAGTGGAGGCTGAGAGGATGAGGATGAAATCAGGACAGTTGGTCTATTATTATGAATTCATTTGGAATTAATAATTATGAAATTAAGTACGATCGTTATCAGGGTGCGCATGACGCTCGGTCTGATAGGGTATATATGTACATTTTATATATATAATATATGGCTAGTCATCATAACCAGTATAGGTGAATGTAGCTGTATGAAAACCTGCTGGCTGTGACACACCCAGGAACGGATAGGGTGTCCTATTCTGTGCCGGGATCACATGGCAATCAAGCATACCAGAGGAACATACACCAGAGAGAGAACATATACCAGAGGGAGACTTTGTAGAAAAGTCGATAGCTGGGTACTTCTGTCCCATTCGTATTTCAACCGTGAAGCAGTTGTGTTTGCATGGCTGTGTTTCGGTTTGAAGGATAGGATATGGCGTGAATTTACTGTAATGTGAATGTACTGTAATTCTAAGTAGTATAAAAAAAAGCATACGGTCCGTCTTAACGAGATAAGCTGCGGCGCTCATGAAGCAGGGCTACCCGGTGTAATTTTTTATTTTTATGATTTTCAAAACTCTTCGCGAATAACAAATTTTAAGATTATTTCCGTGATAATTCTAACAATTCTTACTTATCGTTCATAGAAACAGATGTATTAAGTACGACACAATATAATAGCTATATAATAGCTGCTAAATTGTGTCGTACTTAATACATAATTTCAATCAAGACAGTGTTGGAACGATATTAAGCTAAATGATAGATACATTTTGTTATCTATTAATAAGAAACTGGATGCTGTTAATTCAAAATACCGGTTTATAATTGTTTATTGTGAAATCGGCCCTTATTATTAAATGTCATAAACAAACCCATTTATTTTTTATTCATTAATTAATACCAATTCTTATTCAGCATCTTTATGTTGATTCGAAATTAATATTAATACTCTTGTCAACTATGTTTCTTGGATAATAAAATATGAAATAATAAAAAAAGCTACTTCAATCGTTATAAATTTAATTATAATATTGATTAGTATTTTACTAATCTTATTTTGTAGTTAAAGTTTATGATTAAGTAATAAGTTAACAAAACCAATTATATTGATCTAAAAATCAAACTACTGAACCGATTTTGATAAAAATTTTATGGAACCAATGTGGAAGCATATCTATTCAGATCAAAAAAATAATTTTCCAAATTGGTTTAGAATTGACAGTTATGAAGTAACAAACATAAAAAAAAATACAACCGAATTAAGAACCTTCTTCTTTTCGAAATCGGTTGAAAATGAATAAAACATGTCGATGGAAGATGACCAATTTAAACAGAGAGAAAAGGGAGTTGTTAGTAATAGGATCTAACAGCCCCATTGCTACCAATATCAAGTCGATCGCCATGCGGTTCCTTCTGAAAACCATCGTGATTAATTCTTGTGGAATACGTCACAATTGGCCAACTGACCTGCTTTCATCCTCACCTATCATTTCTCACTGGTGCCTTACCAGTGTATACCGATAGTAAAGGCGAGATTACCATTCATTATCATCTATTAAAAATACCACTTTAAATAATATTATTTAAATGTAGAATAAAGAATCTCGAGAATACATTATATTACGTTTATTCTTGGGTCAAATATGTGGGACATGACGAATAGGTTATTGTCCTGCAAAAATGCCTTAAATGTTTGCTTGGAATTTTGGATACTGACAATTCAATTCATAATTGATAAGTCGTGTAGGTCGTAGCATAAAATAGGCCTCCTTTCCTTTCCTGTGGGTGTCGTAAGAGGCGACTAAGCGAGAGCGAGTGACAGGCAGCAGCGTTCCTCTCAAAACATCTCTAAAGCCTAACTGCGGTTGCCAATCCGCCTGTTCAGCGTGGCAACTATTGGTAAAAACCCTGCTGTGGGAGAGGCTACGTTTAGCAATAGACAGTTAACTGCAATTCATGGTTTACATTACTCACTACCCTTTTAGCATTGGACGACCAGATGGCGCGAGAGACTCCACCCATATATCGTAGACGTACCATTTATACGCACGAAGCGCTTTGTGTCTTTCTTCACTATGCGTACGGCCAAGGAGTGGAACTCTGTCCCTACTTATGTTTTTTCAACCACATATAATCTAGACCAAATTAAGGCAAATGTGAAGAGGCTATTCGTGGGTCTGTGAGCTCCATCTTAGACCACATTGTCAGATACGATCAGATGAGATCGTGTTCAATCGTGGTACCTTTCATCAGTAAAAAAATTACTCACCGCCATGCAGAACCTTAATGTCTTCATACGTCGGTGATCTCCATATACTGGTCTGGTGTTTCTTTCTTCTGTACACCGACAAGTCTTTCCACGAAAGCGTGAGATTTTGAGGGTTGTCCGCAAAGCCGCCCATCTCATCATCTTCCCACTTCACCACAGCACCGGTCAGGAGATTACGCGTGGGCAGTTTTAAATCGGCTTCTTTCATTTTTGGGTCACGACATTTGGCACTGCGGAAGGAAAAATAATTTTGAGTAAGACATTTTGAAACCTATGTGTATTATATGTAATTAGAACAAATATCAAATTTAAATTTCTTACTTTATTATTTAAATATATATATTTTTGTTATCTCTCGTTATATTCTTTATTTATTACTTATTAGACCGGTTGGTCTGATTTTGAAGTTCAAAGTAAAAACAAAAAAGATTTTAGAGTCTCTTGATGCATCAGCAAAAGCCTAATTGCCATTCCGCCTGCAAAGCTGGCAAAACTTTCCTTATGGTGGAGGCCTATGTTAAGCAGCGGACAGTTAATGGTTGATATAATGATGATATAATGTATTTAAAAGCCTGGGCAGACGAGAAAAAAACAGAAGTAAGATACTTTGTTTGTGGACAAAATGTCTCTTGTCTCACAAAAGTATTTTGGACAAAATTGCAGAAAATCCTGTGACACTGCGACCTTTCCATGATCTTTTGTGTTCGCCCTTTTTATTAAGTTTGCTACTAATTCCTATTAAAAATAGGAATTTTAAGACGTTTCTTATAGTAAAATTTTTATCTCCAAAGGATATAGAGCGTGTTTTCCAAAGGAGATATATCGTTTATGTATGAGTGGGCTAAAGCCACACATTAAGTGTTGCGGCGTTTCTTCCTAATTGTGACAAAATCTGCAAACGCTTTTTTGGATATAAGCCTAATTGGGCCAAATGCTTGTTTAGTTTGCACTTGCCAACAATAGCAGTTAATTGATGCTAAATGGTGGATTAGCATTTACTCTACCCGTGTACACTCGGCCGTTACACTACGGGCTCGTTCTACAAACGAGGCCGGACCACTTTCCCCCTCGTAACGCTGCGCCCAAGGTGTAGGGTTACTGCCGTCCTCGCCAGCCGTCCGCGGTAACATTTACCCGTTACTCGGCGTTACATGAAGTTGATCAGGAATTAAGCAGTTACTTTTGATTGAGGACTAACAATGTGCTTTATAGAAATCGCTATACGATTCATTTTGTATAACTCGCCATACTGATTAGGAATCTCGTGGTGAGGGCCTAATTATTAATCCATTAGTACAATCCTATTAGTGGATTATGCGAGACGTATTGTATTTTGTTTAAAACGGATCTTCTCTCTATTTGTTTATATTTTTTTAAATGCCTTGAAAATGGTCCTTTAATTAAACGTTCTTAAATAGAAGATAGTTTCAATCGTGATACGTAGTAAGGGTGGTCATGACGGCGTTTAGGAGGAATTATCAAAATTAGTACAGAATGGCGAAGAAATAGCACAATATACAAACAAAATAAAAAAAAAAAAAAAAAAAAAAACATATATGCACAGTTAGTGCAATTAAGTCTGTTGAGTAAGTCTGTCACATCTATAAATTTTGCTACCAAGAAATTTGTTTACAAGCTGTGTTCTAGCGTGAAAGATGAAATACCGCATTAAAATTATTAGGTAACTGTGTATCTTAATTATGGTTATTTGCTATCTCTCTCTCTAGGAAGAGTCCTATCTCTCTTTCTGTCATCCATTCTGTACTTTACAAATTAAAAAAATATATATATAATGTAATTTAAAAAGTAATCTCTATCCTCATTATTTTTAATTTTTATGAAAATCTTTGTATTCGAATCAGACTCGTATATGATACGGTTTTTAAGAAGTAAATCTATAAAATTAAGTTTGTACATAAATATAAAATAAATAACATATTAAATAGCGGAGAACGGTATTTTATGTCAATAGCATCAATTAAAAAGTGGACCAGTTTACCTTAATTTTACATACGAAACAACCACTTTCTTGTTTTGATACTAACTTTTACCAACTTCTTTTGAATTTTAAACTCTAATAGGTAAAAACAGAATATTCTACGCTACCAAAAAGAGAGAAAAAGAGATCAGAAATTCTTATAGAACCTCTGAATAATCTCGACTTACTTTTTGTTAGTATTGCTTCTATTTTTTTTCTTTTAATTAACATGTTTATTTATGTTAATTTATCATTAAGTGGTCCGTATATCGGTCCAATGGTTTAAGATATCTCTTCTATATATATTCGAGTATTATAAAATCGTTGCGAACAAAAATATTTTTTTTAAAAACAGTATTAAATTACAAATTCGAAAGGCCGAGTTCGTTTTTATCAGCATATTTTGTACACACATTATTGTCATTCAATTAAAATGTTAAATAGTACTTATGTACTTTTATCTCAACATTCATGAGATACTTTTTTCTTAATAGACAGCAAATAAATTCACATATTATAATGATATTTATTTTCAATCCACTTCAAAGAGAAGATATTTATTTATTTAAGGAACACCAACAGAATATTGCGTTATAACATATAGGTATAACAGACATTAAATATAATAGAATATTAATGCACATGCCTATTATAGTTATTCATAGCATATACTTTAACATAGTTAATTCTCAAAACGATTGTATTTTTTTATATTTGTTATAACTCCGTCAGCTATAAATCGATTTGGATTTTTTTTTTATCTGATAAAATATACTTACATTTTCTTTTTTTACGGATGATAATGGAATGGCAACTCCGCCCGCGCTAACGGTATAGGCTGGTTATATTTACATATTGGTCGCATAGAATTTTTTTTTTTAATATTTTTAGTGGTTTACTTTTTAAATCAAAATAATTGGTCAAAAATCAAAACAATGTTCAGTTATTGATTTAACAGTCATTACCTACAAATACAGAATTACTATAGTAAATATTGCTAATTTTATATATTTTACTAATTTATAAAATTAATTTATTAATTAATTATTAAAATTTATTATACTAATTATTAAAGATGTTTGTATGTTTGTAACTTAATCACTCATAAACGAAGGGACAGATTTGAATGAATTTTGCTATACGGATATAGGTACCTATTAAAATACTAAATTAATACATATAGTAAATCATATACTGATGCACGGAAAAGTGACGGGAAATAACTAGTATATTATAAAGTTGAATAAACACATCAGAAACCAAAGACCGCGTGAAATATGAGATATAGAAACTCACCATCTAGAAACTTGTGAAATTCTAGTTAATTAATTGTAATGATCCTTTACGTGGGCTTTTTTAATCACTATACACATAAAAAAAAACAAATATTTTAAAATCACTAATAGTCTAGTAATTATTTTTAATGGGAATTAATTAATTAAATTTATTCAGCTTCGCAATGGTAACGAGTTCGAAGTTCTCGGGCCGCGACGTGCGCACCCTTTTACATTCAAATTCGGACTGGTTGTGGTTAACTCAGCTATTTGTGTTTATGGCAGACAGACTAGGAAAATATTGTAAGATCTATCAATCGAACATCTGGTAGTTGATCAAGTAATGAAATAAAATATAAAACGGGATTGATTTTTTTTATACCACTGAGGTGGCAAACAAGTGTACGGCCCACTTAATGGTAAGCGGTTAGCGGGAATGAAGTCAAAGCCCAAAGTCTCCCAAAGTCCAAAGTCCAAAGCCTGCTGAATTGCTTAAAATGGCAAATAAATTCATCTCTATACAAATTTGGAAGTACAAAACTAAAAACTGATTTTCACCGATTACAGTGGGTAATGCCGTGTTTTTTTTTATGGAATGACAATGGAATAGTAATCCCGCCTGCGCTATCGGTATACATTGGCGGGGCACCAGTGAGGGATGACAGGAAAAAATGTAAAGACAGGTCGGTTAGTCCATCGTGACGAATTCAACGATAAATTAGTTACGATGGTTTCCAGGGGGAACCGCGTGGAGGTCGAGCTGATAGGCTAAATGCCTAACTAAGTAATTGCTGACGCTGCAGCACGAGGCTGGTTTACATGTCGACTTGAAAATGCATTCCTGGTTCACATTTCGAACTGCGCAGTGATTTTAATTATAAATAGATATAGGAATTTTATATTGTAACTTTTATTCTATTAAAATTTAATTAGTTTTTAATAAAATTTCGTATTTTTTAAGTCCTCCGGTTCTCGTCCTCATAATTAGTATTTATTTATTTAAGGACAACCAACAAAGCATACATTTATATCTACTTTAAATACATTGTAATAAGGTTATTATATTATAAAATGCTGCCTCAATTAAAGGCCGCCACGACACGCGTATTCATAATATATATGTATATAAATATGATAACATAATTTATCATGTTGATGTCTTATCTAGTACAACGACCAGATTTCGTTATCAAAATTTCTTAACAATTTATGAATACATATTTAATTTGTCAAGCGTGGCAGTTACTGGCAAAATCCCCAAAGGGGGATGCTTACGTTCAGCAGTGGACGGTTAAGGGCTAAAGATGATGATGATGATGATGATTTTATTTGTGTGAAAAATTAATAGTTCTTTAATTTATCATTAACTAGCTACACTAATATTTGTGTACGGTGATGAAATAAAGGTACAGTAATAGCATTACTGCTATTCCATCAAAGATAAGGATATGGAGCACAATTTGTATTTATAGCACAATATATTTCAAAATATAATAATAACAATTAGGTGCAAAATAATTCCACCAATCGCTTTATCCTCAAGCTATTATATCCTGCATCATGAAAAACCGGGTAATGTGTATCTAGGGGCACAACTAGAAACATCCAAATCCGAACTAAATCAGAAAACCTTATTTTTTTAAATTGACCTAACCGAGAATCGAACCCTGGACCATTTTCGCAATGCAGCGTGCCCATCACAGCGCATCAGACGTCATCATACGGATAATATATTTTACAAATGTTTATCATCATAGTTTATATAGATATAGCATCGAGCCTCAAAAATGGGTCAACTTTTTGTTAGACTGACTTATTTTTTTATCAGTATTGTATATACTTACGAATATATGTATCTTAATGTATTATTTAATAAATAAAATTAGTATTTACGCATTAAAAAAAAAAGCAGAAAATATAAGACAAAATAAATATAGAAGTTATAAAGGAAACAAATTTATCACTCATAACTATTTGTATGAAAAAGTTGACCCGTTTTCCTCAAAGTTTTTCTATAGAGACACTCTATCTATATAATCTAAGCATCACATGTATGAAACTTATTAAAAACTCTCTACAAGTATTATATTTACATGAATGAAAGAATGAGTATATTTCAAGATGACATGGGCAATAAAACAAGGCAACTAATAAATGCAACAATAATGTATATATATGTACACACGATCCATATTTGGTGTAAATATGGTATTATAATTAAAAAAAAATTAATAAAAAATTAAAACATTAATCAAGAATACTTTATAATTGGCAGTAAAACCAGCCAGTATAATATATTTTAATTAAATAATTTAATCTATTAAATAAATTAACCTTAAATTACTATAATGCCATTTTATTAACATCAATATAAAACTACTCAGAGTCATAACATGGAACATTTGAATTATATATTTTTTATTTTATCATAATTTCAATTCAATGATCGAACAAATTTCCAATACGAACTACATTCAAATAGGTTACATCACGGCACACAATTTAACAACAGAATTGTCTAACGTCTTGTCACTTGCATTTCGCACTTCATTTGTTTTTAAATGTGGAAACCAATTATATTGGACATTGAGTGCATCGTTTGCAACAAATCGTTGCAAAAGATTAACCACGACCCGAGAGAGGTAAGAATAAAGATGGGCAAGATCGCTAATAGACGATCTAGAACGCCGAACTGGTCCGCAGACGAGAAACAGTACTTACTCGAGTTAATTAAGCAACGTAAAGAAGTAGTTGTTACAAAGAATAATAATGGACCTAATTATTCCGAAGAAAAGGATGTTGCATGGAATGAAATTCTCAGAGAATTAGCATTGAGATTTGGTAATAAGTTCTCAGAGAGTTCGATAAAGAAAGTGAAGACCCAGTGGCAGAATATGAAGAGGATTGCCCGTGAAGAAATCGCTCTTGTCGGACCAGCTACGGAGAAGTATACCCGACAGTCCTTAGAGGTTTGCAGTATCCTTGATTTGGTACAAGACGGTGTTTTGAAGAAGGACGAGAGTTTGAACGAGGCGACACTAACCACTAATGTCGTTATTAAGGCCGAACGAATTGACGAGTGAGTTTTGCTTTATTTGTTATTCAATAGTAAACTAGTTGGCTAAGTACGTTTCCATTTATTTATATGATAGATAAGTGCATTAAACTATTATAAAATTAAATTGTCATTAATGCTTAATATTGTTTTCGTAGGTAAATAATGTGGTAATTACTAATATGTACTGGTATCTACAGTTCAATTACTCATTTAGATTTATAACAGTAAAATATTATATATTTTACCAGAGGGAGACTTTGTACAAAAGTCGATTGCTTGAGTACCTCTGTCCCATTCGTGTTTCAACCGTGAAGCAATTGTGTTTGCATGGCTGTGTTTCGGTTTAAGGTAGGATTTGACGTGAATTTACAGGGTACAGAGGAATAACACCCGAGTCATGATTAATTCTAGTTGAATTCGTCAGGATGGGCTAACTGACTTGTTTTCATCCTCATCTGTCATCTCACACTGGTGCCCTGCCAGCGTATACCGACAGCGCAGGCACCCCGCCTGTGTTATTGGTATACGCTGGCTACCATACCATTATCACTCATTAAAAAAACTTATAATTCACAGGGAAATTAATCAATCCAGTTGCAGTGGGACAAACGTCTTCTCGAACGCAGAAAACCAACAAAATCCGATGACGATTGAACTTGGCTTGCTTAGATCGTCGTCTTCCGAGCGAATATCTGAAACTAACGATTACGACTCTCACGAAGAATGGACAGATTCTAATACGTCTACAAAAAAAAATGCCTCCTGTATGACAGATGCTCCTTATCCTGAGGGGGTAATAAACAATCCATTCCAAAAAGAAATTCAAGAATATCTCAGGTAGGTGTCTATTTTTTTTGTAAGCGCCTCTGTTTATTGGTGTTTAAGGAGAGATTAGTAATGAGGCTTTTTTAACCGATGATAATAGAATGGCAACCCTGCCTGCGTTGACAGTATACGTTACCGGAGCGCCAGTGAGGAATGATAGGTGAAGATGAAAAGGCAGCAGAATTAGCCCATCGTGATGAATTCAATAATAAGCACATATATAGACTCGTATCTGTCTTTGTTTATAGCCAAAGGCTCTAATTCTTATTCTGGAGTGGACACGATATCCAGTTTTCCCCTCTCCGATTATAAATACTTTATACCATATCATGTAAAAATTTGCTAAGTTTAATTCGCAAGGCACATAATAGGCTGATAAAATAAATACGAATTCCCTACCCGTGGAAATGTATAAATAATTTGCGAAAAGTATTTAAATGTAAAGTGCATATACTTTTTTGTTGACTATTTTAAATGCAAAATACAAAATAGTTTTGCTTTTTGTATTTTAAACACTAAATGGTATTTTCAAAATACTTTATTCAAATAAATACATTTTGTCAAACTTATATTTCTTTATTTATTAATGTTTTTAGTAAAATAGGTTGTTTAAAAACACTGTCACTTATCTTTTTACTGTATGGTCGCGTTATCATATCACCTTTTAAAAAATCTTTCTGCTGAGCTAGTAGGTACTGAGCTCAAATCAAAATACTGATAACGGGGACGAATCCATGAAACAGCTTGATTTCATGCTTTAGTTTAATGTTAATAAAGTTTGTTATAACACATCGCGTTTCACAGATTAAGTTCGTCGTTTTTCTTTGACACTGATTCTTATTTTGAGCTCCTTAGGCTTGCAGCGCCTCTAGTGACCAAATAGAAGCACTTAATAACTAAATAATTTTATATAAAACTAAACTGGTAATGTTAGCATAACAGTACATTTTTTTTTTATATATAATTTACAAGTAAACTATTTTGAATTTTACATGAAGTTAGTATGCTTTTTTTAAAAGCTATTTACATACAAAATAGAAAATAGGTATTTTGTATTTGCATTTCAAATACAAATATTTTAAATAAGTCACATGTCTGTTTAAAAGATAAAAATATTTAGGTATACAACAGTTGAGAAGCAATTAAAAATGGAGTCTTTAAAAGAAGAACGTTACGTAGTGAAGGCTATGAGGGAGACAGCAGAACTGAACAAGATAATCGCGGAACAACGTTTAAAACACGTGTTATGGATGAAAAGACAAGAAATGTCGTAAGTGTATAACATTATAATTAATTTTTATTTGATTATGCTTAATTATTGATGTTATTTATTTAGGAAAGATGCGTATAACTGCGGATTATTTTGCAACATGCTGGACAATTATGTTCAAGGCAAAACAAATAGTAATGATTATAAATTAGAGATATTATATTGTAATTAATTTGAATTATAAATCCTACAATGGTCGAATCCGTGACCATCGGAAGGTGAAGTAGTGACCATCGGAAGGTGAAGCAGTGTGGCATGCGGGCATGGGTTCTTCGTCACAAAATGACTAATAAAAACAGAACTTTATAGGAGTCCAGAATCTGTAGTCTTTATAAATAATATGGAGGGCAGAGGCAAGGAGAACCAGCTCAACGTTTAGAAAAGTGTTCGTCAAAAGAAGTTAAATTAGAATGGCGATTATAGATTTAGTATAACGTACTATGTACTAATAGACTGGCAATAGGGGGAAAGGGATTGTTAGTAATGGAGACTCTTAGTAATTAGGTCGACCTCCTCGCGGTTCCCCCTAGAAACTATCATGGTTAAATCTTGATGAATTCATCATGATGGGCTAACTGGCCTGTTTTCATTCTCATCGATCACCCTGTACTCGTGTCCCGTTAGTGCAGGCGGGGTTACCATTCCATTTTCACCCATCAAAAAAAAAAAAAAAAAGACTGGCAATGCAATCACAAAAACGACAAGAAAATGTGATTACATTTGTGTGCGTGCAATGTCAATGTTGCATAGAACAGTGCTGCACCAAGCACATTCTGTTTACATGATTTATCGATTCTGTATTCGATCGCAAATCGAATCTCAAAATATCAGTTATATTTGACAATTAGTAATTAAAAATTTAATAATAATTTATTTATTTCTTTAACTTCAGTAGACATGTAATAAATTTTACGTAGTATGTACGTATTATGTAACAATTTTGTATTAAAAGAATTACATTTTTAGAAACCAAATATCTTTATAGACTTTAAACAATATATGTTATAATATTTATAGTAGTGTATTTTTAACCGACTTCAAAATTAGGACGAAGTTCTGAAATCGGTTGTATTTTTTGTTTGTTACCTTAGAACTTCGTTATTAATGACGATAATTCCTTTATTTATTTGATATACTCGTGCAGTTACATAAAACTTTTATTACAGTCGCTTCAGTAATTTGGATTTTAAATCAAACTAATTAGTTTTGTCACGATCAATGTATGAATACATTGCTAATCTTAAAGATAGATATTATACTTACATTTTTTTTTTCCCGGGAGACTTCGTACAAAAGTCATCTGCTTGGGTAGTTATGTGTTATTCGTAATTTTGCCATAAAGTAGTAATAATTGCATGGCTATGTTTCAGTTTGAATGGGGAAATTTGTGAGATATGACGGTGAAATTTCAGGGTACTGACGTAATAGCTTACTCTTCAGAGTTCGCAACACATGAAGGGTATCACGGGCGACACAATATACTTTGTTATGTCTATGGTATCCACAGGTGATGGTTACCATTCTCCGTTAGCTTGTTTGAAAAAAATATATATAATGTTTCACTCTTAAAACTGAAACACAAATAATACAACAACTATAGAAATATGGGGTACATTTCGCTTGATAAAAGGCTTATCAAAATCGGCTCATAATTAGCAAAGATATTGTATAATTTCTTACGGATATAGCTAGAGTTGTAATATTTTATAATCACGTTCGTAACTAAAACAAATATAGTTTACGGCAAATAAGTAGATAATATACGAAATATAGCTGTATACATATTTATCATTGCCTCGCATTATGGTTTTCTGAAAAAGTTTAACAAATGTCAAATTAAATGTCAATTTTATCCTTGTCAAATTGTTGAGAAATTTCTAGTGAAATTACTGCGCTGTCCTATTTTTCTGAAGAATTTTAATTAGTATTTACATTAAGATGAGTTTTATTGCTAGAACTAGGACGTCGTTATTGCCTGCTATCTGTAATGTAAGGTAAATAGAAATTTACTACCGGCACATGAGGTTACGCAATCCACTCATTATTTTTTATCCAATGCCTACAAACGCTGGTGCTCATCGTTTAATTTAGTCGTTCTATAATCTTTTATTAACTACGTTCGATGCTATTTTAACATACAGTATGCATATTTGCATTTATAGAATTATTACCTACCCACCATGCTTCCATGAGCCTTTAGTTGAAATAAAATTCATCACCTATTTTATCCTCTTCACATATATTTTGAGGTATATTAAGCAATTTATATATCTTAAATGCTAGTGGTACGGTATTTTTGCAAGTATGCAACTAATTAGCTTGTTGTATTAAGACCTACTTATTGGAATGCTATAATTTTGTCCATGGAAAATATACAGTAAGATAAATGGTTTCTTTAAATAATTAGAAAAACCATTATTCACACATAATTTACAATATTGTGCAATATGAAATATCCTTAAAAAATAATATAAAATATAGCCCATAAACAGTCTGATTTTGGAGTGATAAAAAACAAAATACCACCATAACCATATTCAGTTTCTATTTGTGATAATTAGATCTTGGTAAGTCTTTTTCCCCTCTATTTGTTACTATTTATTAAAAACAAAACATCAGTGACAATGAGTCATCTTGGCAGATTATTATCTCTCTTGTTTTTATATACTTGAATGATATCATTTGTTTACATTTATGCTTCACTTTAGGTATATCTAAATATAGTTTGTTCTTTTTTATATATACTATACTGACTTGAGACAATAATATCAATATTTTCAATATGTAAGTGTTCATTTTAAACATTAAAAAATATGATTAATAGTCCTCTGTTTTTTTTAATATTGTTCTATTTTATTTTATAATCTTTTTTACTTGTATCTTGTGTTTGTATCTTCTAATAAAGTCATTATCATTTATATCTAAAGTGCTCATCTCTAAACATCTAAGTAGGTTATAGTGTAAAAATATTTTTGTTTTTGATTATGGTTTATTTTTCCATTATTATTTAATATAATTGAATTTGGGTCTGTGTTGTGATGTGTTTGGATACAAAACAGTTTTAAAAGTGCTTTTTTGTATAAAAGTGATGACAGATTGTGTGAGTGTATATTTATTCTCCACACATTTGTGTCTTATCAACATAGGATTTGAAATTAAGATCTATATAAGAATAGAAGTTTTTTTTTATAACAAGAGGATTGATGAAACATTGAAGTTTTACTTCACATATTTTATGTCCAAATTTGCCACATTATAGGAGAGCAAAGAAGGCTTAGTCAATTTCTATTTCTGATTGTATTATAATATTTTTTTTTGTAACATAAAGCTTACATAGAGAAGGTGATAATTAATTTAGGCAATTTTCATTACAATCATTGCATAAATTTGATACATAAGAACTTAAAAAATGAGTTACTAAAAGTTAGAATTTTAATCGAGTATTACTATTATCATACTGTCCAGGTAGACCAGTGTAGGGTTTCATTTTACTTTTTACATAGTTTTGTTTGACAACTTTTTAATGATATAACAGTTTGTCAACCATTGTTAATTTGTAATCATAAATATATTTAAGTATTAATAAATAGTAGATGTTATTATTTGTTGTAGAGATCATGGGCCCAAGGTGCCAATATAAAGCGTTATTTATTTTTTATGCAACTTAGAATGGCAAATAACTTGACAGCTTACGTGATGAAAAGTGGTAACGGTCACCTATAGACATGAGCAGTACCATGGACATAACAGAATATACTGTTTCGCCCATGATACTCTCCATATATTGTCATTCCTGAGAACTCAGGTGTTATTCCTCTATATCTAAATTGTTTGTAATATATTAATAAACAAAATTTATATATATCACTTTATATTCAAAGTACAAAGTCTGCTTTGATTTAGTTTAAATGGTGGTGTATGATATGTTCGAAGTTATTAAGTTATATCTAATTTTCAGAATGTATTCCGGTGAGCCTGGTTCTGGAGCTGGCAGAGGTGGTGGCGGTGGTGGCTCCATCCGCGAGGCTGGTGGTTCATTTGGCAAGATGGAGGCTGCCAGGGAAGATGAATACTTTTATAAGAAGGTTGGTAGCTAATGTTTTTTAAATATTACTTTAATCAATTTAATTAAACAATGTAGGATTGGGCAGTATAGTTTTCAATCAGTTGTAATCTTCCAAGTCTGTTGAAAATACTAGGTATATATACCATAAGTGGTCACTAAAACAAGTCTTAGCCCCTTGAATATACTTTTTGATAATTTTGATAAACTATATAAATATTTGATTGTATTATTATTTGTTGTTACCATTTTTACTCAATACTATGTCTTGAAGATATTCATGGGCGATGATAGCCACATTCCATCAAGTGTACTCGTTTACGTCCCTAACAATAAAAAATATTAATTCTTCCCTTCTATAAAAATAGTTTTATGAAAAAATGTCGTGGTCGCTGTTATTACCTAAATTGATAAGAATAATGTTATAATACTGTATAAATACATTGTTGGTTGTATTATAATATGGATAACTTTGTTTTTATGTATCATAGAATGGCAAACAAATTGATGGTGCACCTGATGGAAAGTGCTGTCACCTAACATAATATAACAGTAACCTAACATAACAGTATACTGTTTTGCCCATGATATCCCTCATGAGGATTAAGGTGTTATGCCTCTGAATCCTGTAAATTCACTGCCATATCCCATTCTTTACAGCCATGCAAACACAACTGCTTTACAGTTGAATAATGAATGGCTTAGAGGTACACAAACAAACGATTTTTGAACAAAGTTTCCCTCTGGTTATGTTTATATTTTTCTGTTTTAATACCTTTTAACAGATTCTAGCATTAAAAATACTGTCATCGTTAGATGGCGCTGTATTTGAAAATTATAGTTTAATAAAATATGGAAAGATATAGAAGTTTTATAAAATGGATAGAAATTTTATTTATAAAAAAATATTATATACTAAAAAATACTATTTATTGATAATAATTGTCAATGCCTTTTTTTTCTTCCAGCAAAAAGAACAGATCCAGAATTTAAAAGGACATTTGAGCAAAGAGATTGCTTTCCATCAGGAGCAGATTAAACGTCACGAAGATGCTATTAGGCGACACAAGGAGCAGATGTCTGAAATGGACAACAAATAAACGATATATTAAATTTGTTGTGAAACCTTTTGGCATAAAATTTAAGCACATATAAGTAACATTACTTAGTTTATATAATAAAAATAAATAAGTCTAAATTTTTTATCCTTAGAGAGGATGTTACTTACTGATTTTATTTTCTTTAGTTTTTAGTTTGAAGTTTGATCTGAAATATATTATTTATAGAAGTAATTTTTGTTTTGTTGAGACGAAATGTCTATCACATACAGAAAGTACCTACTTAAACAGAAAACGAATTACCTATATTATATATTATACTCATGAGGCATATCACATTATCAAATTTATATATTTGAAAATAAAAACGAGACCATTTCTTATCTCATCTGTTATTCCTTAGTTACTATTTAACATATTGGTAATATAATAAAACGAATAACGCCATCTAGCGTGTATTTTCAACTCTACTGATTTTAATACTTTCTAAGTAGTTATTTCAATTCAAGTAATTTGAAAGGAATTATAGAGTGCGCCAATTTGTTAACTACGAGTAGTATCATAATTATTAGAAATATGATGTACTAATAATAACACTTGTTCTATATTATAACAAATAATATAATGCAATAATTATGATATATATATATATATATATATATATATATATATATAAATTAGAAATGTTATTTTTATGTTGCAATACCACATTTAAGTTTGTCATCCCGAAATATAGGTTTACCATAGATTTTGAATTTGCTTTTTTCATAATATATTTAAATATTGTTACGATTGCTACATTTAAATCTATATGCAATGACTTGTTTGTTTTGACGCATGTTCAATGGAATATAACACGGTCGTCGCCCCAGCAGATAGTTCTGGCCGCTCCGCGTCTAAATTTAGAACAAGTTCATTCCTTTGTGTAAGGAGACGTCTTTGGCTACTCGATCGAAACCGACACTGGTTAGGGTGTTTTTGTGGCCGTATTTTACGCTTTGATAGTACTGCGAGAGGCGTATTTTATTAGTGCAGATGACATGAAGTAGCTGGCTAGTTCCAACGGCAATCGGCCGACGACCGAGCGTCTGATGCGAGTGAAGTTAACCGCAGAGTAAACGAACGGGGCGCGCGCCTCCATCGCACTGAACTAAGCCCCAAGCGTCATTCAGTTTACTACAATCGCGCGACGACCCTGTATGTCGTTTCACGAGTTGTTGTGACCCGTGTATATAGTGTTAGTGGAATAACATAACAGCAAATTGTTTGGTGCTGTGTTAATAGTGCTGTTGTGCAATACTGCTGGTGCGACGGCTCCCATTCACTTGTTGTGATGCATTTGAGGATATATCTATGGCTGTCTTGTGTAGCCCTCGCAGGATATGTACGAGCGACAGAGGTAAGGGGACTCGTCTTAAATGCGGCATTCGGCCGGCTTTTTGTACTGTCGGAAGATGGTATTATAGGCACGTTCGAAGATTCTATATCGGTTGCATTTCGACAACACAACTGCACAGGTTGCATGCGCCTACTTGCGTAATTTTCAATGTCAACAATGAGTAATCTGTCTGGAGTGTAACTAGTTTTCTATAGATGGTGACAAGTTTGGGGTCAACCACGTTGCCGTCTGCTTGTTGTGGTTTAAAAATTTGAATGATTCTACGTCACATTGAGTCCTTGAACACGGACTAGATAATCGACAGGTAAACAATCGTTATCGTTGTCCATTCCCATCGATTTGTCGTGTTATTTTTGTTTCCGTATCGCATGCTATCGTGTGCGTAGAGTAAACACGAGTATCTATTCAATGAGAGCAGGGCACGACGGTATCGCCCACGTTTTTGGGAGAAAGTCGAGCTGGTACGACAAGCATAAATATATGTACATACCTATAGGCAATGGCATTGAACGCTCCCGAGTCCCGCTGTGCTTATAATTTCCTTTAAATGAACAGTGTAAGCTTGCAGGTACTATGGTTACTTTTGCATTCTTACCTGTGAATGACAGAATTAGGGATTCACAGATCTTATATCTGTATTCGACATATATCAACACAAAATACTATTTACAGTTACCTTTTCATGAAAAATGAATAAAACCTCATTAATATTTCATGAAAAGATAACTGTACTATTTTCTTCATCGAGTCAGAATATCTACTGTATGAGATTACGAATTAAAATGTTTGATATAAGCACCATTAAATGTACACTTCGACCTACTGAGATTTCTATTTGGCCGATTAAATTTCAGTCTTATCTTCAATGAAATAAGCACTGTATTGATTTTATTTACAAACTAAATCTTTACAGTAGCTACTAAATAAAATGGTATTTTGTTAGTTCCGATAGTAGAAGTGGCAATTTCTCAGTAAGAATTAAAAAAATAATCCAGATAGCTAGCGAGGCGGACTACCTTAAATAGAACACTTGATTGAATTAAATATTTATTTGAAGTAAAACATCATTAACAAGGTAGATTGCAAGAAAAAAAAAAAAAAAAACAATAAGCGATATTAAAAAGGAAGTTCTTATTTGTTTGTTTATTTTTTATTTCGTGACAATTTGTCAGTGGGCTAATTTTGACGTTTCTAGTCATATAAAAAATAATAATAAAAAAAGCAATCTTCGTCCATTTTATTCCGATTTTCGTAATCCTTTTTGAAATCGATACGGTTTACTTCACAGTTAATCCCATGTTAATTTTGCCACGATTGAAATTGGAAGTAAAATTAATAATTAATCAACAAAAGTCTTAATTAAATCTTGAAGCATTGGCACTCTAATTTTGAAGTTATATCGATTAATATTAAAACATAATATTGTTGTTCCTTGGTACTTTTTTTAAAACTATATTCTGCTTATTAGGATACTGACAAAAATTTACCGATTTATAGGCAATATTACAATAAAGTTAAACATAGTACATTATTGTCTTAACTTAGGTATGGACCTTGGTTAACAAATCAACAACTGAGCAAATAATTACGAGATGTTAGACATTAAACATAATAGTATAATTTATAGTAGTTAACATTAAAAAAAATACCTATCTAGATAATTCTATTGTAAAATTAATGAGCGATCAATGAAATGGTCGAAGGTCCTAGGCATTTCTTTTAATAAAGTAGTTATTGGTATTATTAAGTCATCAGCACGATATTCAAGGATGTCAGATGTAGTAAGTACATAGTATCATATCCAGTTAAAATTATTCTATCTTGTTAATATATTCTCTAGCAAATCTTATAAAAAGGTTTTACTTCCAATTGTCGTCAATTTCAAATGTATGTACTTATAACTATTATTTTTAAAAATTATAACCTCTTTAGCGCTAAATTAAACTTTTAAATTAAGAATTTAGAACTAGGTAAATACAATTTGAATATTAATCATTCGAAAAACAGCTCAATGTTATACAAATTAGGTACTATTTTAATTTAATGGCGGCTGTCTACCTCACGAGGGTAAGAGCTATGTGAATATAGGCCGTCCGTATCTATTGTTATCCAGTTTTTGTCCCTCGGACCCCAAACCCGTACTGCTGTGTAGAGAGGCAATGCTGCCTTAAATACATTGATATACAAAAAGATCCTAGATACACAATCAGAGACAAAAATTGCAGTAAAATAGAGAGAACAAGTGACGTTTGTAGCCAAATATTCTTATAAATTATGTAAAACCATTTCTTATTTATGACAAATATTCAATTAGCCATTACATTTTACAATAACCTTTTTTTTTGACACAGTTTTAAGTATGTCTTTTTATGAGTATGTAAAGCTTGGTTGTATATCAATGCTTAAATACGAATTAGAGGTAAACCTGACACTATTCGAGTATATGTATGCATGAAGAATAGAAATATTGTAATTCGGTTGCGTAAGGTCGTTTATAATTATCATAAATAGGTATCTTGTATTCTTGGGAGTGATACGGCCCTAATATTTGATACTGTACTAGCTATAACTTCGCCTATCTAGTAAATACTAGTACGTGTTTACCAAATTTAACGACGTTTAGTCCAGCCGTTAAAGCATCACAAGGTAATAAACAAACAAACATTTGTAATTTATAAGGAAACCGTGATTCCTAAGTCTACGAAGAGTCACTTTATATTATTGGGAACTAGAGGTGCTTAGCAAGTTGACAGCCCACCTGATGCAGTATGAAAAATAGCCTAAAACTTATGTCTATAAACAACACCATGAGCGTTATATACTGTCCCCAAGTTTACTCGAATAACGCCATAAATATCATGGAATATATACAACACATTGGTCCCTTGTGGCGAATCGCTAGGAATTAACCATGATGGTTTCTAGGGGCCGTGTGGAGATAGACCTGACAGGATATATCAAAGGATATGTCATGGGGATTAGCGTTCCTGTTACTAATGGCGAGGGTAATAATCCCTCCTCCCAATCAATTATGGTTAGAAGAAAATAATGATAAGACTTCGCAATATAATATAGGCTGTATAATACTCGACCAAAACTATATTTTCATAATAAGTTTTTTTTATACAACTTAGAATGGCAAACAAGCTGACGGCCCACCTGATGGAAAGTGGTAACCGTCGCCTATAGACATGAGCAGTACCATGGACATAACAGAGTATACTGTTTCACCCATGATACCCCTCATGCGTTGCCATTCCTGAGGTCTCAGGTGTTATTCCTCCGTACCCAGTAAATTCACGCCATATCCCACCTTTCAAACCGAAACACAGCTATGCAAACACAATTGCTTCTGCAATCGACTTTTGTACAAAGTCTCCCTCTGGTAAAAGTAATTCGTTAACATTATTTTTAATTAGTTTCGTTGCTCATCATTTCAGCCATCAACTGTCCATTGCTGAACACAAGTCTTCCCCATAAGGGGAGTTTCGCCAGTAGTTGCCACGCCTGGCAGGCGGGTTGGCAACCGCAGTTAGACTTTTAGAGATGTTTTAAGAGGGATGCTGCTACTCAGTCCTTTATCATTAAGTTCCTCTAGTCGCCTCTTTTGACACCCACATATTCTATGCCGGGACCACGCAGCCGTTTCGTTACTCTTTCAATATTTATTGTCAGATTGTACTCACAAAAATCTTATTTTTTTATTCATAAAAACGTTAAACGTCTCATATATTTTAGCTATTTAAGTGTTTTGTCTTTTTTTTCCTAGTTTGATAGAAAGAGACAAAATGCTCTCATAGCTAAAATTCTGTTTAGTTTTTATGAATAAAAGTATTAATCTGTTGAATTATGATTATTCGTAGAATAATTTATAATGTATTATGAATGGACACTTACTAAAATTAGAAGTGCGAAAGTGAATATTTCTTTGTGTCGTAATCCATTCATTTGTCAGCAAGTTTGGCATACACATAGTATTTGGCATGGAGAACGACATAAGCTACTTTTTATCCCGGTCAATCAATATAACGCCGGGTCATGTGGCCAAGTTCGCGGGAGCGGGCAATAAATATATATACGAGTATAACCAGTCAAAAGTACTATTGACTAGCAAAATCAGTCAAAAGTACTTTTGACTGTATGCTTTAGTCTATAATACTTTTAACTAAAATAACAGTTAAAAGTACCTTTTTTATCGTGGGGAAATGCATCATACATACTCATACGTCCCGGGGAGGCGTATGGGTAATGCCGGACTCCTACCGGCTAAAATCACCACGGCATCCCTCGCCACGCTATAATGTTGTGGACCCGGGTTCCCTTTCGAAGTCCACCGAGTCCCAACTACCTAAAGTATCTAACCTAATCGCAAATTTGCAGTCAAAAGTACTAATAACCAATAATTTTCAGTCAAAACCACTATCTAAATCAAATCTAGCAAAAACTAGTACAGGTTGGTCACCTGTACTAGTTTTTGCTAGATTTTACAAGTCAATAGTACTTTGGACTGGTTAAGAGTTTTGACTGCAACATATATACTGAACATATAACGCCATCTATTCCCAAACTAAACAAAATTTATACTATTAACTACTAGACAACTGAAAAATATATTTTTTTGCAGTACTTAATCGAGATATAGGCAGTAGTATACCTCTTAAAACATTACCAAAAGCCTATCTAATGGGCGAGGCCTATGTCCAGCAGTTGACACTTGACGACTGGTACTATGGTGATATGATGAATATGTAAATTATGTGTTTTTGGTCTGTTTGTCATTTCAGTATTACAAATAAAACACTACATAAAAAAAATTAACCCCAAAATAATATAAGTACTTACTCAGATCGATCCTGCAACTATTATATACTGATTCCATCAACTGTCAACCTGTAAATCGTAAAACTCACCATTATAACTCATCGTCCATCAATCCGCATCAGATAGGTCATTTTAAAAGTCATGCTCTCAGTACCCACTCAATGATGAAGCCCAAATCCATCATCTATATTATAATTCAACCAGCTGCAAACATTGGCATACGCGAGCGTACACCAAAAGCGCAAACGCAAGTGCTTGGGAACTCAAATCCAATACGTAGCACAAAAAAAAAACTATTATATACTACCAATGTTGCCAAAATAATTAAAGATTATGTCCCTCATAAAATCGAGTTCTATTGTTACAAAACCAGTTTTATTGATTTAAAAACTAAACTACGGAACCGATTTTAATAAAATACATATGGGACCAAATTGTAAGTATATTGTTGACAATGCAATTCATACATTTTTTAATATGGCAATTTTATTAGTTTGTGTTTGACGTATATAGAGCGAGACTCTCTGGTCTGATCTGGTAATTGCAAGGAAAAGAAATATCGTGTCTGTAATACTTTTTATAACTTTAAATATTAATAAATATATAAATAAGAATAGTGAGTTTAATTATAAACATTAATTACTCTGCAAAATTACTTCAAAATAATGTATATAATATTTTATTATATATTTGAATATTTTATTTAACTGTATATTTATTTATGTACTCTAAATATTAATAGTTGTAGCACTTCAGCTACCCGCTAACAATATGCTTTTCTAACTGCATTGGGTTGACTGGAAGAGATGTGTGTCAGAGATAAGTTCACCCTTGCTTACAATATTTATAAATGCATTAATAATGTAATTTACAAGTGCAATAAAGAATATATAAATATATATATATATATATATATATATATATATATATATATATATATATTTTATAAAATAATTAATAACCAAAATGAGAACTTTCTTCTTTTTTATGTCGGTTGATAAAGAATAATCGTTATAAAGGTTGAGTTAGGAAAAATAATATATAGGACTCCACATCAAAGGATGGATGCGGAACAGGCTATTGTTTTTAATTATTTTCTTATCCCGCACCGCCATGGGTCCGGGGACACCATTCATAATCATAGGACAGCCAACCTACGTCATGTCATGACAACGAATCTTCCGCTCTAATACACCATTTGATTACTGTGTGATTTTTCGACCAACTTAAAAAAGGAGGTTTTAATTTGCTCGTATTTTATACTAGTGACTCGCCCCGGCTTTGCACTTGTAGAGATTGATTTTTGACATGATTTTTAGTATTCTTTCCGTTTATATTTAATACAAACAAAAAATCAAATCTTTTCTCTTTATAGTATTACCTATTTTAGGTACATGCGTACATGATATCTTCGTCCATTTTTAACCGATTTCGATTGTTCTTTTTTCATCGGATAGGTTTCTTTTCTGTCATTTATAATTCACTATTTAACATAGGGATTCCTATACATTGCCACTTAGGAGCTGTACCATAGGACTTATACTACATCGTGTATCAAATCTGGAGGCACCATCTAGGGTTTTTTGACATTTATAAAATTCCTGGCTTGATCTAGTATTGAGTCACTCTATACCTGAAAAGTGAAGTAACTCTAGCCTGAGCTATTGGTTTCATCATCTTATCACCTATCATGTCGACATCCACACAGTTTCTCTCGGTTCACCATTCAGGTCAGTCAACCATTCAGGTCAATGCTTGTGGAATTCGTCTGGATGGGCTAACTGACTTGCTTTCATCCTCACCTATCATCTCCCACTGATGCCCCGTCAGGTTATACCGATAGCGCAGGCGAGATTACCATTCCATTCACATCTATTTAAAAAAAGGACGGGTAGAATGCCGTAAAAGATGAGAAGTCAGGTCGAGTTGGTCCATTGTGATATGTTCATAACGATTAAATTATTTGTAGAGAAGACCTCATGCAAGTCGACTAGACTGACAGACGGATGGAGCAATATACTTTTGCTAGCAATGGGGTCACTACTAGCAGTTCTCTATTCCCCCCGGAATGCTCCAATTTAGGATACGCGTTATCTGTTCCGCTCAATATCCGTTCATTCCATACAATATTATCATTATTGCATTAAAATGTAGGCAGGTGGGTTATCTCGACTTTGCATGTCTTATCGCGTTTTTAACACAAATATGACACCTTCGTAAGACCTTCGTAATACTGAATACTGCATTGTGCGCGTTATAAATTTGTTCCGATGAGAATTACCGTATGATTTGCTATTATCTGCAATAAATTCCATAGAACTTGGTAATGAAAACAAAATAATAGGTCTGACCTTAAACAGTCCGCCGATATCTATCAGTTGTGCAAGTAAAAAATCAATCAATTGATTAAATATTTCGATTTGTTAGTTTGAAGAATTTTTCTGTGATGATTTTCAACAAAACTATTACTTTTTCATTAATTTATATTGAAATAGACTGTATTTCTGAAATTTCTAAATCAAATTTTGAATTGTGATAAAATTAATATGAGACCAACACGAGAATAACCGATTATCGACTACAAAAAGACTTACATTTTTTATAATATTAGAATTATTTTTGCAAGAATAGAATTGTCTAAGATATTAATAATATATAAAGAATACAAGCGAATTAGGAGATAAATCCCATGGGATAGGCAACATAGATTGCCTGTATCTGTAACTGTATTAATAATTGTTTTTTAACAATAAAATATTGTACAAATGAATATTTTGATATAATAATTATATAAATACACACACACATACACACGCACGCACGCACGCACGCACGCATGCATATAAATATATAAAATTTGGGATAGTTTACTAGAATATTTTCAAAGTGAACCTTATTTTTTATGTTGAAAACATGCCTAAGTTGTTTCGTTCCATGTTCCACAAACACAGTTATCGGTAAATATGCTACACAGAAGTGAGGCAATTAAATGTGTTTTAAATAGTACACTTGCATGCCATTTAGCATGCATACTTACATATACTCAATTCTGTGATAACATTACGTTTATTAATAGGTGTTATAATATTTAAAAAAATAACACGGCAAATTCTAAGACCTTTTCTTTTGTAAGAAGATAATATAATTTATGTAAACAGACAAACAATTACAATTCACAGCCCAAACAAGACACTAGATTTTAGGTCCCTCAGTAAAAAATTACATGAAAATATTATAGCTATAATCAATATTCATATAACCGTTTTATTCAGCGTCAAAACACTTATTATACACACGTTTGAAGTAGTTAAATTTCAGTTTTATAAATAGATATGAAATAAAAATACTAGATGCACAACCCTAGTCTAAAAAGCGACACTGAAAATATAGTGCAATCACCCAGTTGTTTGGCAACAAAGGCATTGTTTTATACTAATCTTTTTTATTAAGTTATCAGTGAAGTTTACAGATAAACGTGTTTACTAAGAGATTTCATAAGACATAGACTTATTTCGATATGTGACTAGGAATCCACTAAAATATGCTTTTTAATTATCATTTGGGACAATTTTAAGTGTAAGAGTACATTTTGCACTGGCTTCTTGAAAAGAGTAGAATTAATAATTGTAAATATGAGTACGTATAACTATCAGTACAAAGTATATAAACACAAATTATGAAGTTAGATACTTCTAATTCTAAGTTTGCTGCATTTTATAGTCTGGTACTGGCTAGACTAGCTCTGTAGCTAGAGTAAATCTGCTTTCAGTACATTGCACTTGCTTTTATATAACCGTCATTAAAAATAACAAGTGTGAATATGTACATTAACTCCCCATTTAATTATTACGAAGAGACGAGCTGTCGTGTGTTTATTTCTAGATGTTTTTTTGTGTAAAAATTTTCTGTTTTTGTTTTGAGGAATTATTATTAAGTGCATTGATTTGTGAGCATGTCTGCATGGTTAGTCAAGTGGAACAAAACTGTTAAACGATTTTCTTTTTTTGTAATAAATATTATGCTATTTCTTTACCATAATCGCTTCTAAGTGGAATGTCTCTTATGCGTCACCTCTACCGTACCAGTTACTCGAGGCTGCATTGTGTGGTGTTGGTACAGTCATTTAAATGAGACCCAAAATATCTTGCACTCCTTTAAAAGTGTTCCGTTTCACAGCAGAATCAGATAAAACCCAGTATGAATTGCAGAAAACTTTCTAAGCCGGATTTTATAATCGGAATTTCCATGATCCAGAAGGAACCTTAATTTTAATTGTTAAACTTTTAAACGGCGAATTCATTAAAATTCCTCGGAGAACTTTTAACGAGGGGAATCATCTTTATCTATTGATCATTTCAATATGGTGCTAAATTTTCAGTTTCAAAACTAGCTACCACTGTCTGTCATTGTTTCAAAACCAGACAGTTAAGTTTAATCGACTCTCCAATTAAACTAACCAACTATCAGCGAGTGCTAATTGGAACAGTTGAAATGGTTAGGCCGCAAAAGGAAACCCGGCAAATATTTGAGACCGTTGATGGAAAATAAATAGAACTGCCGCCGGTTCAAAAGAAATGTTTACGTTTGAGAAAGTTAATGTAAGCCCTCTTTTAAAGAGTTAATCTGTTTGGAGCCTTTGTATCTGAAAATGTATACAATTGTACAAGAAGCATGTCATCAAGGGTGTGTATTGTAGTTCTTTTATGAGTAATTTTGATATTATTAAAAAGTGGAAAAAGATTTTTTTAAATTAAGAATATTTGCTGTTTTTTAAGTCAAAGGAGATCTATAGAGAGAGTTCATATTTTCCAAGGAAATATTCCGTTGCATGACATTAACTCACAGTGGCGTTGAGCCGTTGGGGCTCCCAACATTAAAAATATAATTATGCGAAGTACATTCTTTCTGCGCCAGTTAATGCCTTGCTATCTTTTGCAGAATCAGCTGTCCTGGTGTATGACATATCTAATAATGCTGACTTCATGAGATGAGAAGAGGTTCAATACTTGATATCCAAAATAAAAATGGAACATCATTTCCTGGCTATAAGTGTGATGTTCTCTAACATTTTATCATCTGAACTATACCAGATCGTGAGGATTATCATAATCTTCAAAGGTCTCTTATATTTTTTCTGTGTGTGTGTGTGTGTGTGTGTTGTCCTGTACAAAACCTTATAGGGTTTTTATCCAAAATGATTAAAATGTGAATGTATTTTTAAGCAATTCCAAATTCAAAAAGGTTTGAATTTGTCTTTTCTTTGCGGAGCACAAAACTGCTTACTTCTAAAGAAATTCGACTTGCCTCAGTATCAGCCCTTATGTGTCCACTGCTGGACATAGGCCTCCTCCATAAACCACCACAAGGAACACAGTCTTGAGCCACCTGGTTCATATTGGTATTTATATAGGTAATATATAGGTTAATATATATAATGTTGGTAACTGTAACGTGAAAAATGGTAAATGACTTACACTCAGTAATTTAAAACATGTATTTCGATCGCATATCGCTGCACAGTACCTGGTAAATGTTAATTACTTACACTGAGAACAAATTAACTACTGTCATTACCCTTTGTAAGGGTCATTGTCCGTTGTTTATATTATTTGAAAACAATGCTATGTGATAGTAATTTGCTGTGTATACAATAGATGCCCATGTTTGCAAGTCGTTAGCCTTGTTTTAACTAGTTTGTTTGGCCATGCACAACCAATATATAGGTCGGGAAGTTACTTTGGGTAAGTGAATATTTTAATCAACGATAATTAAGATTGTGCTGTGTCAATTGTGGTAAAATCAGTTAATTTGCTTTAAAAACTAATCTATAAATATATCTTTTCAGATAAAAAAATAATTTTTCAAGTCAGTAGACGACTGACGAAGTTATGAGGTAACATCATGAAAAAATACAACCAAATTGAAAAACTTCTTTTTGAAGTTTTTAAAAATATAATGATATGTCCAGCTATCTGGTAATAGTTACATCCATAATATTAATTACTTGCTAACTTTTGCATGATACTTCTTACGCGTTGGTTTCAAAAGTAGAAACATCAATGAAATACCCCACTATTGGACGAGGGATGGGCAGCAGCGTCCCTCTTAGAAAATTTCCAAAGCCTAACTGCGGTTGCCAATTCGCCTGCCAAGCGTGACATTTATTGGCAAACCTCCTTTATAGGTGAGGCTATGTTCAGCAGTGGAGAGTTAAAGGACACTTTGATGGCGTATCAAGATAAAAGACTACGATAGACTAGTACTAGACGACTAGTGATACTGTACAAATATACAGAAAGAAAGGTAGACATTTTAAAAATTATTGTTTTATCATTTTTATTATTCTTATCACGAATCCTTATATAAATTTTTCTTAAATACGAGTATCTTCCAAGTACAGATATCGTTTAGTTACAATATTATTACATTAGTATAAAACAATATACTTTCGAATTTGGTTGGGACGCATAGATTATGCTAGGCAGTAGCCTATTCAATAAGTATATTGGATTGGCAGAGGGAGCCAATTGCCTACAGGCTGTGTCTAATTTCATATCACGTTTCATGTGTAAGGTTCTGTGGACTTGACCTTAGTATTAGGCTTCATGTACTACCCCTAATACATACTTTATTGGTAATCTAAAAATTGATTATATTCCATTCTACACTCTCAATTCGTTTGTATTTTTTTTTTAACAAATTCATAGTTATTTAAAAAAATTCGCGTTATGAACTTGAAATTCAAATGGGATTTAGTTTTTTTAGTTTTTAAGTATCACATACATAAAAACTAAGTACGCAATGTATATTTGTCCTTGCATGGTTGTTTTTCGGTTGAATCATGGGATTATCATATCAGCCATTAACTGTCCATTGCTGAACATAGGACTTCCCTATGAAAAGTTTTACCAGTAGTTGCCACGCTTGGCAGACGGGTTGGTGGTTAGGCTTTGGTGATGTTTTAAGAGGGACGCTGCTGCCCATCTCTTGATCATTAAGTTCCCATAGTGGCCTGTTATGGCACCCACGGGTGACCTATTCTGTGTCGAGACCATACGTTGAAATGGCAGCGTATGATGAATGACATAAAACCATAGTATTCTGTGATATTCATGGTGTTGTTTATGTCTGTATGCAACGGTTGCCGTTTTCAGTATGTCCGCTTGCGCTATTTGTATATTTTCGCGGGATACCAATAAGGAATGATATGTGATAACGAAGTCCGGTCAGTTGGTCAGAAACGTTGTCGCGTCCTCTATAGAGGGTGCGTGGCCCTTTGAAAACCCCTGGATTTATCACACGCGCTACATTTATTCTTTATTGTATACAAAAGGAATTTAATCAGAAAAATAATTAAACATAATAATGCGCAGAGGCGAGCTTATCTCTAAAAGAGATTTCTTCCAACAAACTCAATATGAGATAAACTGACAGTTTATTAGTAGTTATAGGCATACATGTGTACCAATCGACTTAAATATTAAAAAAAAATTTATACAATAGTAAACACCGATAGATATAAAAAATGAATTAAAATATATATTAGTAAATATATTTTTTTATGCAATTTAAAATGTCAAACGAGCTGACGGCCCACCTGATGGAAAGTAGTAACCGTCGCCTATAGACATGAGCAGTACCATGGACATAACAGAGTATACTGTTTCGTCCATGATACCTCCCATGTGTTGTCATTCCTGATATCTCAGGTGATATTCTTCTGTACCTCGTAAATTTACTGCCATATCTCACCCTTCAAACTGGAACATAGCTATGCAAACACAACTGCTTCACGGTAGAAACGCGAATGGGACAGAGGTATTAAAGCAAACGACTTTTGTACAAAGTCTCTCACTGGTAAATATGTATAAATAGATAGATATATGTAATATATAATACACAAATATAATAAGTACGTACATCAGCATTTGTTACAAATCTGTTGACATACCAACTTGCGCTCAATTGTATCACAGCAAATTGGTTCAATCTGGTTAGTTCTGCGCCGTCCTACTGTGGCTAGTGTCGTTCCTAACTAGCCGCATCCTTCTTACTACAAGTACGTATTCTGTTGTACAATGAAGTATTTCATACAAGGACTTCTTTTAATAGAGCTACGTACCGTCTGTCATGGCTTCTACCTTCTCGTCCTGTTATTTGATACATAATATATTACAACATCCCGTCAAGTTCGCGTGTTGTTTGTTATTGTACCTCTTCTACATTTTTATAGTTTCCTAGTAGGAGATCAGCTGGAATGTTCGAGATATGGAGGTATTTTTTTACATATTAGGCCAGTTAATTTTTTTAAGCATAACAGGTTCGATTCTTGCCTAGTGTCATTACCTAAAACACACATTATAATAGTAATTATGAACCTGTCTTTAAAATTAAAATTATGAATATTTTTTTAGTTCAGAATCAATTTTGAATTAATGTTACGTTTTGTAGGGATCAACAAGCACTTTATTTATTTATTTATTTATTTATTTATTTAAGGACAACCAACAAAGCATACATTTATATCTACTTAAAAAATTCATGATAATATGGTTACATTATAAAATGCTGCCTCAATTAAAGGCCGCCACGACATGCGTATTCATAATATATAATTATTATTAAGAAAATTTATAAAAACTACAATACTAGTTATATAATAAATAGACTACAGTAATATTTTAAATTTCAAAGATTTGTACACTTATAATCTATACATATGTGCAATGATACATGCATGAATGAATTTAACAAAAAAATCTATACAAAGTTGATTTGAATTTCTTTAAGGTCGTGTTGATATCAATATTAATATTAGGCAATCGTGACAACTGACTATACACTTTAAAATACTGTTATGTTTTGATGAAACATGCACTCATACAAATTTTAAGTTAAACCTTTACCTTCAACTTTTTATATTTCGGAATGAATCCCATTGTATTAGATTTTAGAATTACAAATACAATATTTTTCAGTTCATATTGATTATGAGTTGGGTCGCGGCTTCACTCGAATGAATAAATATATTATGTTAAATTACGATATAATCTTATGTGTACAAATTTCATTCAAATCAGTTCAGAGGTGTTTTTGCGTGAGTCTTTTTATTTTTGATAGGTGAAAATGGAATGGTAACCCCGCCTGCGCTTACGGTATACGCTGGCGGGGCACCAATGAAGGGTGATCGATGAAAATGAAAACAGGCCAGTTAGCCCATCATGATGAATTCATCAGGAATTAACCATGATAGTTTCCAGGGGGCATCGCGAGGAAGTCGACCTGGTTAAGTATATTGCTAGCAATGGGATTCTTAGTCTCCATTACTAACAATCCCTTCCCCCCCTGCGTGAAAGAGTCCAAAAAGAAAAAATCGTGAACAATTCTTGTTGAATTCGCCACGATGGGCTAATTGATCTGCTTCATACTCACCTATCATCCTTCACAGGTGCTTCGCCGGTACATATCGATAGCGCGGATGGGGTTACCATTCCATTATTACCCATTAAAAAAAGTATAGTGGTATTGGTTGTTGTAATATCGAATTTAAATTTAAATATGAGATACAGAGATATAATTTAAGTGATCAGAATTGACCCCAATGTCATTTACCTAGTTTATTTTTACTATTATATGTACGTATATAGTAAGTGTATACCTACTTAGTAGCTATACTAATACATATACATATGTACTAATACATAGACATATGTAATAGTTTCAAAATAATTAATTTTTATTATCATTGTCTATTGTTCATTGTGAGACATTGTTTCTATATTCTATTCATAGACATAAGGCGGTGCTACTCTAGTGAGGAAAATAGATAATGATTATGGAAAAGTTTATATAAACACACCTGTCGGTTAATTAAATTCCAAGACATGAAACGCGCTAAGACAAGCAACTCGAATATGAACTTTTAACCTTTCTTATTAAATCGATTATGCTCACGAGTTATTTATATTTCGATTTTTCCGAGAACAGTGGCGCTGTTCGTGTTTATAGGCGTCAGTTACCATTTTCCATCAGGTGGACCGTCAGTATGTTAGCAATGCTTTTTAAAAAAAAGTGAGTAAGTAGTTCAGAATTGTCACAGATAATCTAATACAATACCCAAGTAGCAGGGTGACGTCTGAGACTCAAATAAGACGTCAGTTCTAAATCATTTTAGGGTCGGTGACTGAAAATGTACGTCAATATGACGAATAATTACTATATATATATGAATACTATCCATGATTTTCGGATTGATAATGATGTTTTTTTAAGGACTAAAACAATGGAAAATAATCTCTCGTTCGCGCTAATGGTTCACGTGGGCGAGGTATCACAGTGAGGGAAGTAGTTAGCACTCCTAGTACAACAAAGTGCAAACGAATCTATGGATAGAATCGTCATCGTTAGCGAGCCTATGAGAGAAATGAAATAGGGTTTTTTTTTCACATTTATTTGCATTTAAAAATACTTTTAACATGTTATTAGGGAAAAGGCATTGTTAGATTCAGAGCAAAATATCTTTCTTTTTTGACATTCTCGTGATTCCCTCTAGAACGCATTGTGGGTAATTCTTGTGGAATTTGTCACGACGAGTTAATTAACCTGCTTTAATGCTTTCCTATCATCTCTAGTGTGCCCCGGCATAGATTTTCCCTGCACTCCGGCACCCCTTCCTTTCTCGTGGGTGTCGTAAGAGGCGACTAAGGAAGGGCGAAGGATAGTCATCAGCATCCATCTTAAAACATCTCTAATAGTCTAACTGCGGTTGCCAACCCGCTTGCCAAGCGTGGCAACTATTGGCAAAACTCCCCTTATGTGGAAGGCTTATATCCAGCAGTAGACAGTCAATGGCATAATAATAATAATATTATCTCTTACTAGTGCGTCCCCAGCCTATAACTATATAACAGATGGGGTTACTATTTCATTATCACCCATAAAAACCCTTTGTCATCTAATCTAGAATAGAGTTTATATCGATCGGTACGCAACACGCAAGCACGGCCTCTAATGAGGTCAGCAATTTTCAAGATGAGTAGGTACAACACTAATTAGTGCTTCATATTCTAGAGTTGTTAGTACACGATTATACTGGAAAGCGAAATTTAATCGATTCATGTCAGCTTTATTATCTGTGGATGTATACAATTTATGGCCGTTTTGCACTTTACGAGTGTAGGGTTGTGCGTAATCAATAACTAAGCGGGTTTGTTAATTTTTTATTTTATTTTCCGAATTTTAGTCTGTACATGTGTCAATGAGTGTGTACTGCATTGTCTTCGAACTTCTGAATCGATACGTTATTTTAAGATATAGAAAAAAAAAAAAATTAACTACTTTACGTTTATTATACGAAGAAGTTGGGTATTTCTAACATTCGAATTTTGAAAATCGAAGTCATCTACACCTAATTATGTTTTTATAATTGCCTAATTTATTTATTTACGAGTATTTTCATATTGATTTGTTATATACAATTAAGTAGGTAAATTATTCCTATGTATTCCATGTTAAATACTTTCTATTTACTAATGGAAATTTGGCTGAAAATTGGCTTTTGTATAGACAGCATGGTTATGTTGTAATATGTTCTTTTCTTGAAGGTTATGTTGTCGTATCGGTTCGGAAATACTGCTGCTGGAATTTGATTCCAAAAAGTATTTGTGCGTGGAAGAAAGTGGCTTGAAAAACGCACGGTGGAGGACCGCCACTCGTCCAGAAATTTTAGTTTATGGCGGGTTGTACGATGGTGAAAATCAGCAGCAAGTTTATCAATACGAACAATTCCTCAGAACATTCCCCATGATAAATTCGATAGAAGATGCACAGAGACGCAACATCTCTTTGCAGTTTCAGTGGGTCGAGTATCACTAATATCCGTTGAGTAGTCTGCGTAAAAGAACAAACTTCTATTTGTACATATATCTCCACAAACTTTCGTATTTATTAAATAAAGATATATTAACACTATCATTAAGCTATTTACACTTAATTATGTAACAGCAACCCTACAAACTTGTTTAGTTTGTTACCGCAGAGCACCGATTAACATGGATCGATTCATCGAGTTGGTTGGTTACTCCAGGAGTCAAGTGCTCGAGTTCTAAGGTACTCGATTCAATCGAGTACACTCGATAATCGAGCTTAACACAAATCATTGTAACTGATGCATAAACCGTGGAACGTTTGTAATGAGACACTACATTTTCGTAAACAGAGTTTGTGTAGTTAAAACTATATTAATGTTGGAATCTTTTAAATATTACTAAAATAGTAAAATGTTGTCAATTTGGTCGCATGTCCTAAATTTATTTTTAAATAATAATAATTTATTTCTTATTATTAATTCGCATAGAATGGGCCAACTTTTCTCTTCCCGTAGGTATCATAAGAATTGATTAAGGAACTAAATGGTTGAGGGATTGGCAGCAGCGACCTCTTAAAACATCACGAAAACCTAACTACAGTTGCCAACCCGTCTGTCAAATGTGGTAACTCTCTGTTGATAGTAAGCTGTACAATGGTAGAAAGTGGTCATGGGCATCATACTAAATAATTCCTTTCTTCCAATTGTATATATATAAAAATACATTGTCGAAAATACATACACAAATTGTTTAATCCAATTGAAAAAAAAATACAGACGTTTCAGTATTGAGTTTCTAAATGACACGAACATTCTTCAAAATCACTACCAAATAAATATTTAGCAAATTCGCATAGACAACTGTTACGTTTGTGTTAAACGGTGTGACGTGACAATGTTTTTTTTTTCACGAAAATGGCAGTCAGGCAATACTCACAAAAAAAAATTGAACACGATTTCCAATTTTAAAATAAAATAAAATGCACAACTTTTTGGCTTTAATAAATTCTAAGTAGTTGTGTAATAACTAGATATTATTTCTATTTTCTTCCCACATAATTGATCAATTATTGTGCGTGATCAATTATAATTATGTCTTAATGTACAAGCAATATTTTACGTTGCTAATTTGCTGTAGTGTCGTTTGCGGTAGTTTTTAATTGACTTAAAAAAATAAGGATGTTCACAGTTCGGTTATATTTTTTTTAATGTTTATTATTTCGTTACTCCGTTATTTATAAACCGATATGGATTTTTTTATTTAAAAGGTTTTTCAGATTGTTCCCATAGAAATTTTATCAAAATCGGTTCCGTAGTTAAAATCGAGATAATTAATTTTGCCTTGATTGATTTCTTTTTTTTTGTGTAATACAATATTAAATTATATGTAACTGGTGTCCTGTAAACTATCAAAGATTCACGCAAACTTGCCACAAAACGGGATTGCTATAGTTTTAAAATTGTAAATTTACAACAATTTTGAGAACTAAGTCTCGTCGTTCCTGTTTCATTTTTAGATATTCCGCAAAAAAAAAAAAAAACAGCAACAACAATTGTAAATAAACA